AGCAATTTGCTCGAGACAGTGAGAGATCATTGTCTAGGATGGATCTTTGTACCCAGGTCTATCGTGAAACGGAGGAGATCCTCCCGAGCCTTAAGAAGAGCGTCGATGATCTTGAGCGATCTTGTGCACAACCTGCTCCAGATCACCCTTCTGCTACCATACTAGAAGAGGAGGAGGAGGAAGAAGGCTACAAGGACATGGTGGAGCAAACATAGATTATCACGGAGAGCTCCCGTGAAGATCATGATCAAGAAGTTCCTGTCGTAGCCGACCACCCCTTCTCACATCCCACACCGAGCTTTGAAGAGGCGTGAATGAGTGAGGAGATGCAAGAAGATCTCATGAAAGAAATTGCTTGGCAACTTGCTCTCCAATCCGTGCTAGAAGAAGAAGAGAGAGAAAGGGTGCAGAAAGAAGTTGTGGAGGATGACAAAAGTGAAGCAGAAGGAGTTCTTGATCATTTCCCAGGGGTGATACCACATGAAGAAGGAAGGGAGGTTGAAGAAGCAATTGGCGTCCAGGCTGAGGACGGAGTTGAGGTGGAAGAGGCCTGCACCGGCCATGAGTTACATGGGATATCTCCACCAAACTTCGAGGAACTACTTAGCAAGGACCCATTTGCAGTGTCTCTTTGCCATACCAAGGCCACTTCGACATCGGTCCCTCTTGGTGGACGCGATGGTGGCCAATTGATGTTGTCATATCTAGTTTGGGGCAATGAGACGAGAGAAGAGAAGAAGAGGTCTCGAGGGTGGAGACTTCATCCGCATCAAGTGCACGAGCTTCCATCTACTGTCATACCACATGATCGTGACTTGAGATTCCACCTCATCGACAAGAACCTCAACTTCAAAGAGGTTTTGGGGTGGACCGAAACTTAGGAGCCATCGTTTGGCTCACGACGTGAAAGAAGCGCTTGTTGGGAGGCAACCCAACCAGTCGGTTTGCATTTCTTTCTCTTTTTCTCCTCGGTTGAGTCAGTTTTGTTATTTGATTTTAGAGTCAATAACTCAACCTTTGTGAGATTTTGTGTGGTGTTTGTGTTCCGACTACTCTCTCCTCCTGGAATGCACCGCCTGCCCCGTCCACCATCATTCACCCTTGATCTGGTAACTTTGTTCTACCCTCCTTATCTTTCCTCCCTTGAGGACAATGTCGTGCTTAAGTGTGGGGGATTGTTCGATTATGAATGCGTGTGAATGTTTGGCTGTTTGTGTGCTTGGAGCCTAGTCCACTGTCCAAATTTCGATTTGAGGGCTCCAAGTACGTGTTCCTTGCAATTGCCTGCTCAGTATGCTTTGAATTGACAGTCTTTATAGTAATATGGCACCTAGGGAGGTAGTGTATCACTATGGAGGATGTTGATGCATTTAAGAAGTCTCCTTTCTTCTTCATATTGTGTTGGTTGATTATGTGAATTAGTGATCTTAGGACCCTTGAATTGTGTGGTGTTGTGGACTCTATACCTGTCATGGACTCCTCTATCATGTTTTGAAATAAGAGGTGCTCGATAATGTGCTTTAAAATAACGTCTCCCGTGCGAATAGGGCAAAAGTGTGTAAGGCAAGACGGGAATTCGTTCCCAATTTCCACCTACTACCTCCAACCCTCTTACATTCCTTTTCCCCGCACGAGGCTCGAGACATTCGCTCCCAGCATGGCCGGTAAGAGCTTGGTTCCCGTAAAACCTTTGCTAGGTGGGAGCCCCATTTTCTGAAAATCGGGTTTGAACCGTTAAAAAAGAAAGAAAAAAAAAAGAGAACAGAAGAAAAGGAAAAAAGGGGTTCCAACCGTCTTCAAAAAGAAAATAAGAGCACCTTGACAAATGTGAGTCCATGATCTTTTGTTTTTGAGAGTCTCTTCGTCCACGATTCATTTGTCCTCTGATCACTATTTGCCATGATGCCGACTCGAGACTAGCGTTCTTGCCGAAGAAGCTATGAGATGACTTGTGCGTCGGTTGACCTCGTAAGCTGTTAAATGATCTAGAAAATCCTCTATCAAGGATCGAGGGTTCATGTTGCTATAAAGGTCTGGAGAGCTGCATTGGTTTGAGTTAGGTTTGCTTGGGGACAAGCAAACGGTTAAGGGTGGGGGGATTTGATGACTCGATATTTACACATGTTTTCCCCTTTGTTTCTTGATCGTTTAAGCTTGCATTATTGCTTCTTTGGCCTATTTTACGCTAGGTTGTGTTCCTTTGTCACATTTCAGGTCCTAGCACATAAAGTGAAGCGTAGGCGCAAGTTTCAAGTCAATCGGAGATCAATTGGCGACTCGGGGGAAGAAACTCGGGTATGACTTGAAGAAGAAGGGACTTCTACCTCCTTTTTTGACCATATAATCATGTAATCTTGTCCTGAGAAGAAAGAGGACGAGACTACGAGCGTCTAGGATCAAACGGCACCTGATTTGGAGTCCGAACGAGGGAGAAACGAAGAATCAAAGATAGGGGAAAATTGGTTTCGGGCTTCTCTGAGAAACAGAATGGGGCCCTATCGTGAATCAAAAATCCCCGGTCGTGAACCAAAATCCCCGGTCGTGACCCAAAAATCCCCGATCATGACCTAAAATACCCGACCGGGGATCGCGAACGCAGGCTGTCAAAAGCCTGTTTTGTGCGTTTTTGCAAGGGGGAGCTGGGTTTTGGATCCCAAACACCCAAGGGACGAACCAAAGAGAGAGAGGGCGATTTAAGGGCATTCTTGGAGTGGAATTGGAGGCTTTCTTTGCCTTGGAAGCTCGAGGAACAAGCCCGGACTTGAAGACTGATCATCTGAAGATTCTTACTGCAGTCTCTCTCTTCTCTATGGAGTAACTTCCCTTCACTTAGGTTTTGAGGAACCCTAGCTATGTTTATTTGATTGGATGATTGTATGAGTACTCTGACTTGATAACCTTGAGTTCATATTCAATCTATGCATGTTTTCATGATTCAATTCTGCTTTAGTCGAGATTATTGATTCTGCTTTGATCCTATGAGAGCGAATACCTGATTAGGTCAATAGAGCACCATAGATTGATAGTATTGGATCGATTGCGTTAGTCGAGGGTTGGTTCACTGCTTTGTATTGATTGAGAACCTCATTCGATAGAGGGAATCTAGTTCAGAACGCCTTGATCGGTTGTTCTAGAGAAGGATACGTCCCTCTAGGCAATTGACTCAAGAGGGCCTTGTTCCTTTAGTCGAGACTCAAGGTCTAGTCAAGGATTCTCCGCATTGTGAATGAAAGTGAAACAAGTTAGAAATCATTAATCGTTAGTCTGGCTAGTGGCTAGGGGGAATCATACCTAAGTGAGTTCCCAACCTGTAATTAGATTAACTTTAACTGTAGTTTGCTAGAGTATTTTTAGTTCTTTCATCTTAATCTAGTTTGCTAGATAATGAACTGAAGCTGAGTAATAGTAACTCTAGAGATCCGTGGATTCGATATTTATTACTTGAGCCACTATACTGCAGTCCCTTTCAATGGTTACACTTGGCCATTGTTAGGAGTTGTGTCATTGCGAGTCACCGACACAGCACCGATGATTGCCCTAGCACGACCCAGCGATACTTGCCACCGCAACCACTGATGGCCACTCCCGTTGGTCGTCGTACAAGGAGCCAAAAAACTTTGCAGCCCCATGAGTCCCAGGGACTTCCTTGAGATGGATCTTTAGTTTTATCATTTTAAGTGTTGTCTTTAGTTATGTTTTATTTTTATGTACTTGAAACCCTTCTATTTTAGTTTCTTTAATTGAGTGTTGTTTTAGTTTTTATTTTAGTTATAAGTTCTTGTCTTTCTCTACTTTTATCGTGTTAACTTAAGGCTTGAGTGTTCTCGTGAGGGTTATTTGAAAACACAAAAGTTTCAAGCATCATAGCTCTAACTCTGACAATAATTGAAAATATACATAACAAATGAAAACATACATAACCGCACTTGGGGGGTGCGGTTTGTGTGGCAAAAACCGCACCTTGGGGATGCAGTTTTGTTTTGGAGAAACAAACCGCATCTCCAAGGTGCAGTTTTGCTAGGTCAGCCCAAAACCGCACCTCGGCCAAGCGGTTTTTGTTGGTCAGACCTGAAACCGCTTGGCCAAGATGCGGTTTTGGCCCAGGATAATAAACCGCACCTTAGAGATGCGGTTTATATGTAAAATTCACCCTCCAGGTGCGGTTTACATATTAAACACACCTTGGAGGTGCGGTCCATAAAAAATGGTGCTATTTTTGTAAATATTTTCGGCTGGATGCTATTTTTGTAATTTTGTTTTAAAAGGTGCTATTTCTGGAAAAATCCCGGTTTTCGGCGTCCCATGTTAGTTTGCCAAATTTTTTAAATTAATCCTTTGTTTTGAAAGCTTGGATTAGTTTGCCATTTTTTTTAATTTATGATGTGGACGCTGACGTAAAGATCTGTTAGTAAAAAGTTAACGGTAACAGAATGAATGTCCAGACTTTGATCAGTTATAATACGTTTGGTTAATAAATAGTATTCTAATAAGACCTGTCGACCATGTACCATCCACTCGAAAGATGAAAAGTTTAAAACCAATATATGGAGAGTCATCTCCCATGGAAGGAAAGAGTCATATGGTCTATGGATGGCTCATATGGTTTGATCCATGGACTCGACAATGAGTGTACACCTTTGGGTCATTGGTTGTTGCCAAAGGCTATGGAGAGCAGTGATGTGTGTCACTTCTTGCCATATGAAATAAATAAATTTATATAATGTACTTATTATATATTATTTATAGAAAATAAATATAGCGAACCATGGCTAAAAGAAAAGATAGAGAGAGAATATCAAAGTGAAAATCTTGAGTCGGAGTTATTAGACTTCGATATGAAGATTTTGCCACTAAGTCGTTGTGATGGCTTGACTTGTCGAATCATAAATCAGGCCATGTCATGCCATGTTGTCTTGTCCCGAGTAGCCACGACTTGGGGGCATGATGATTTGAAACATGGCAATAAGGGGTTTTCAGTCAAATTCAATAGGGTTAGAGTGAGGGACCTCATTTTTTTTTTACAAAAGCCAAAATTTGGCTAAGGCATGGGACAAGCTTTGACGTCAAGGTCCATCTCACCATGTTGGTTTGACATGATGTCCCAAATTTGGCTAAGGCATGAGACCATCTTAAATGTCGAATTCCATCTCGCCATATTGGTTTGACATGATGTCCAAAATTTGGCTAAGGCATGGGACAAGTTTTGACGGCGAGTTCCATATGGCCATGTTGCCTTGATCATTGAAAGCCAAAATTTGGCTAAGGCATATGACAAGCTTTGACAATGAGTTTTGTCCGGCCGTGTTGGATTGATCATTGAGAGTCATTTTTGCTAAGGCAGGGATAAGTTTTGACGGCGAGTTCCATCTGATCGTGTTGGCTTTATGTGATAGCCAAAATTTGGCTAGGTATATGACTTCTTGCTAGCTCCTTCATGGAAGTAGACCCATTAAAATGTATTAGCGAAAATAAAATAAAATCTGAGTAAGTGGCCATCACGAAAAAGGGCAAAATTATGGCTACAGAAACGTCTACTTGTGTGTTGATAAGTGTTAATTCATCACCTTGGTAGGTTGATGTCAACTACTTATTCCATAATTCTTATGCACTAAGTAGTTGGGGGACATTTGCTTACACCATAAATTTGTCTTGTACACATTGATGAGTTACAAGATAAATAATGAGTTTATAAGGCCACATCAATTATAATAATTAATGCAATTTAAGTCGGGTCTTATGGATATTGATTTTAAGCTCAAGCTACTAAGTCATTAATGGACATGACCATGCTTCAATAAGGAAAATGAGCCTCTCGTAAGAGGCCATGCCATGGTACGATAAAATAAAACTGTGTCTGGAAATTAAGGTATGTGCCGCTTCACGAAGAGGGTCGTGACACGCCAAAACACAACACCAATCTGCGACTAAGTGTAATCGCAGACCGGGAATGCAGTAACAGGCAAGTTATATTATCAACCCGGGCTCTAGATCTACTGCTTACTCAGTGATTCTCTGTTATCTAGCCAACTAGAGTAAGTGATTGTTGTTTAAACTGAAAGCAGAAATAAAGCAGGAAATTATTCGGTTTTCTTAAGCAGGAAAGAGTCACTCGGGAATGAATCCCCCTAGCTCTTTAGTTAGGTTTCAATTGCAATTTACCCTGGGTTGATTTACTGTTGATTAAACTGCGGAAGATCCGACAGTAGCTTGGAATCTCTTAAGCTGACCAAGCCCTCTCAGTCTAACTACCCGGCAGACGACTAGTCTTCACCGGGATAGAAAGCTGAAGCAGTAAGAACAGAAATTCACTACTGGAATTAGATTCCAGTACAAAGCAGTAAACTGGCTAACTCTCGTATAACCAGTCTCCTACTATCGAATGATGAGACTCTAGCAACCTAATCAGATTCTATCTATCTCAGATTGCAGCAGGAATCAGGAAAAGTTGATCAGACTTCAATTGACTCAATAAACATGCATCATTCGATTAAAATCAAACAGTAATATCATCCCAAGTCATTACAATCAATCCCCTAACACATAGAACTAGGGTTCTTCATCCCCAAGTGAGAGAGAGGTTCTACTCCATAGAGAGAGAAAAGAAAACAGTAATCGGAGTAGTCATACTCATAATGATGAGGATAATCTGCTCCGGGATGATGATTTCCACTCCTAGGACGATCTCCAAGCTTGATTTGATGAAACCCAGCTCCAAGATGGCTTCTAGGGTGAGTTCTTCGCACTTTCTCTCTCTAAAACTCTGTTTTTGCTCCAGAAATTCGATCCCCCCACTTCTCGCTCGGATTAGGCTTTAAAAACCGGATTTTCCCGAGTTGCACGACCAGGGTGCACGGCCGTGCAACTCACCATTCTGGCCGTGCACCCTGAAACGCAGCGTATCCCTTAAGTCGAACTCAGGCTTCTTGCACGGCCAGGTGCACGGCCGTGCAATCTTCAGGGCCTGCCCGTGCAGCTCCTCGGCATGAGGCGCACGGCCAGCTTGCAACCGTGCACGGCCGTGCAGCCTCCCTGGTATGCCCATGCAGCTCCCAAAAACCTCGCCACTCGTCCGTTCTTCGTCCAATCGACCCCAGACTCGCTCCTAAGCCTTCATTCACGTACTAGGACCTGAAATATCACAAACAAGCACAACCTAGCGTGAAATCGGCCTAAAACACGAGAATCAACACCTCAAATGGTGTAAGAACGGGGGTAAAAACATGTGTAAATGACGGTCTATCAAACTCCCCCACACTTAACCGTTTGCTTGTCCCCAAGCAAACCAAGTCAGACACTAGGTAAGCTTACATATTTCAATCAACCAACATTGGGGACAAGTCATAAAGGCACAGAACACGTGAATCGCACTGGTTTTCAAACATCAATACATGCACAACCTCAATAACAACCTGGACAACCACCACAAAGGACATTCGAGTGCAGCAAATCGAGTAAAGGAAGAGTCTCCCGTCTGTTCACTGGCCAACCTAGACTTGATTCAACCACTTACTCAAAACAGTCAACTCATGCATCCAACTCAAGACATCAGAATAGAGACCGAGCAATCTAGGTCCTCACCGGGGTACAAGAGCATATAGAAAATGAAAATGAATCACTCACTCTCGACCAGTGGGGTCAGGACAATTTGATGCGAAAGATGCGCATGCTATTTCTCTCAATCCCTATCATCTCTTCACCATGATGGCAGCCTCTAAATGCTAGAGTTCACATATGGGGTGTCACCACTAACTAATCAGGAGGTCTTAGACACAGGTTCAAATGACTGGCTAGGGTCTTGGACATGGGGAAAAGGCCTTTTAGGTGGTGGAAGTATTCATAGCAAAAGGTTCCACATTTCCCGAACACACAAACATAGTCAGCAACCCGGTATTTTCTTTCTGCTATCCTGCATTACTCAATATCTTAAGAGCACAAGAGCGAAGGAGGCATAAACATCAGTATTTCCAAGCCAGACTGCTAAGAAACACTACTTACTGGGCATTATTCAGATTTTTAGTAGTGGTTCTCTTTTGCTTTCAATTTTTTCTTTGTTTTTCTTTTATTTTTCTTTTCATTTCTTAAGAGAGCCACCACTCCTGCACATATTTCAAACATCCGCCCAACTTTTAAGCACTACCTCCAACACTCACATAGACTTTAGCAGAAACAGCAGAGAATATATAAAAACCACTCTGTGGAACCTTCTAAAAGATGCAACAAGGGTGATTTCTTTTCATTATAGACCAAAAGAAAGGATAACACACGGCTCAAAGGGGCTGACTAGGGGATATGACACATCAGGACAGTCAGTTTTGGGCGTGGGCTAATCCTATGCCCCCATCATCTCAGCTAGTGACAACGTGAATGCTACACATCATGGAAGAGGGATCTATCGCACAAGAAAGAAACGAGCAGGCTCAAATCTCACATGGCTACCTATATGCTCTATCTCATATTCTGCTACCCTGAACTAGATGCATAAACGACTGTTAAGAACAAGTAATCAGATCAAGTCAGATCAAGTCACAGTTGGCAAGCAAACAGTTGAAAAACTGAACCCCTACATCGTTCTACTGCACATCTCAGTCCTCATCATAGGTTGTCCTAGTCGCAAACAAGTTGTCATGCATTAATCCGAAAACCAATCAATTCATCCATCAAAACACAGTGCCAATATGATCAAACAGCAGTACTTGGAGCCCTCAAATCGTAAGATTCGGACAGCGGACTAGGCTCCAAGCACCATCATAAATATTCCAATCGATACAAAGCATCCCCCCACACTTAAGAACGACATTGCCCTCAATGGAGCAGAGGGAAAGATAAGGGGAACGATGTTACCGGGTAAGAACACTGCTGGGGGACTGGAAGTGGACCAGTCAGCGAGAAACGAACGGGAGAGTGGACAATGCTGCACAAATCGAACATCAGAAACACACTAGCACACTGGCGTTAGGGATAAGTGTTAGCCCAGAAGGCTACATCAAACCACAAATGAAAAACCAAAAACAAAAACAAATGACACCAAGTTCAAGCTCCGCATACATGGAGCAAACACACAAAAGTCTAAAAAGAAAAAAAAACAAACAAAACAAACACACTGAGACGGGCAACGAGTACAGCCTACTCGTCGCCAAGATCGTCGAGGTCGATGTCGGTCATGAACGCATCATCATCAGCAGCGCCAGCAGTTCCATCATCACCGTCAGTTGAAGCAGCCCCGGCCGCACGGGCAGGCGCGCACGGCCGTGCACGGCGTGCTTCTGCCCGTGCAGGCCGACACGGCCTGGCCGAGCCGAGGCGCACGGCCGTGTACCTGTCGCTCTTGGCCGTGCACTCCTGGCCGAGAGCTCGCACGGCCGTGCAAGACAATGCCATGCCCGTGCAAATCGCACGGCCAAGCCAGGCTGAGCGCACGGCCGTGCATTGTGCACTTGTGGCCGTGCGCTTGTGGCCGAGAGCTCGCACGGCCAGGGGGGGTACCCGAACGGCCGTGCAGGTCTAGGTTCTGGCCGTGCGACTTGCTGGGGTCCCGAAATCAACCTGTTTTTGCTCAAAAACGACACGTAACTCTGGATCAACGTCTCAAGACTCAAAAACACACAAAATCAAAGGAAAAAGAGTAAGAAAATGCAAACCTCGGTGGGGTTGCCTCCCCACAAGCGCTTCTTTACCGTCTTTTAGCTGGACGCCAGTATGGATGCTCAGGGAAGTGTAGGATCAGGTGCCTTCAAGAGCGGATCCACATCGCTCTTGAGGTACAGCTTCAAATGGTGGCCATGCACGCGACGAATGTGGCCACCTGCATTCGCCAGCTCAACTTGGCCATCCGGTAGGATGCAAGCGAGTGAATACTCGGATGGCCAAGGAGGGGGCGGGACCAGCTCATAGTGGTCTCCGGCTTCCTTTCGAGCAGGCTTAGCTGCCTGCAGTTTCGGCCGCCACTCCTCCTTGATCTGTTCTTTGGGTGACGGAGTGGTCCGGAGTGGCGGCGAAGGTGTGGGAGGCGGTTCCTGCAAAATAGGCAGCACAGAAGGATACACGACAGACTCGTGCTCCTGGTGAGAAACAGCATGCAGAGGTGACGAAGCAGGTATAGTATCAGCAACAGAAAACGTTATTCGCTCCTCGCCATCCCTCAAAACTAAGGTCCCATCATGCACATCTATGAGAGCCTTGGCAGTGGCCAGGAAAGGCCTTCCCAGTATAAGAGGCACTTCTGTGTCCTCACTAATGTCCAAGATAACAAAATCCACGGGATATGTGAATTTGCCAACCTTAACCAGAAGGTCTTCCACTATACCCCTAGGATGCACTACAGATCTGTCAGCTAATTGAAGGGTCATCCTAGTAGCACGGGGTTCACCTAGGCCTAGTTTCATGAACAATTTATATGGAATAACATTGATACTAGCACCTAAATCCGCCAAGGACTTCTCTACATGCAATTTATCAATAGAGCACGGGATAGTAAAACTACCTGGGTCCTTCTTCTTCTGCGGAAGCTTGTTTTGCAGAATAGCCGAGCATTCCTCGCTGAGCTCTACCGTGGCCAGCTCACTCAGCTTCTGCTTCTTTGAGAGAAGCTCTTTCAGAAACTTCACATACTTTGGCATTTGCGATAGTGCCTCCAGGAAGGGCACTTGGACATTCAGCTTCTTAAGCATGGCCATGAAGTTCTCGAACTCTGCCTCCAGCCTGTCTTTGTGAAACCGAGTAGGGAAAGGGAGTTTAGGGACATACTCCTTCACTACTGGTTGCGGTTTAGGTGCAGCCACCTCAACTTCCTTCTCTACTTCCTGTTCAACCGCTGGAGCCGCTAAGACAGGGCTTTCTTTCTCCGGTTCCCGAGCAGGGGGATCAACAGTCATCTTGCCACTCCTGGTCATGATGGCATTGCAGCGCTCATTCGGGGTCGACGGGTGAGGGATGGTCTGCCCTGGTAGAGTACCATGAGCCCTTTGAGCCACTGCCTGGGCCACGCTCCCCAGCTGGGTCTGGATATCCTGCAAAACAGCCTGTGTATTCCTCTGACCAGCTTCCAGAGCCAGGAGTTGACCCGAGGCCTTCTCCATGAACTGCTCAAAGGTGTTGAATTTCTGAGCACTAACACTGGCAAGAGAACCCACCAAGTCCCGCAGTTCAGCCATCTGATCATTCTGCACTGGGGCAGCAGGGGCTGCACCTGGCTGCTGGAATTGCCCCTGTCTGGGCTGATATGGTGGCCTCTGGAAGCCCGGTGGTCCCTGTGGAGCTGGTGGTCTGGGATTTGGCCCAGCCCAGGAGAAGTTAGGATGCTGGCGCCACCCCTCATTGTACGTGTTGCTGTAGGGGTCATTGCGCCTGACATTGTTGATGAAGTTCACCTGCTCCTGGGGTGTGGTCGATTCCTTCATCGCCTGGCAGTCTTCCACCATATGATGGGTGCTCTCGCACCACTGGCAGAGCATCGCCTGCTGCTGTCCGGTCCGTGGAATCATCCCGGAACGATCGATAGCTGAGACCAGCTTCGATACTACCTGCACCAAATCAGATGACTGGGTGCCCACAGCATGCACACCCCGGCCTGGTGCTCTCCTCGATCTCCTGGCAGTGCCCCAATCATAACCATTCTCCGCCATCTCTTCAAAGAGTTGATTCAGCTGTGGCGGGGTTTTGGTCAGCATGTTCCCGCCACAAACCGAATCGATCAGCTGCTTGTCCTCCGGGAAGAGGGCGTGATAGAAGGTGCCCACCTTGAACGCATCGTTGAAACCATGATTGGGACACCTGAGGAAAAGACTGTTGTACCTCTCCCATGCATCCCTGATGGTCTCATCCTCATCCTGAGCAAAATGTGTAATTTGCTTCTGCAGGTCAGCTGTCTTGGATGGAGGATGGTAGCGGGTGAGGAACTTGTCCGCCAGGTTGGCGAACGTGGTGATGGATCCCGGAGATCGAGTGTCTAGCCACTCCTTGGCCTGCCCCTCCAGAGTGAATGGGAAGTACCTCAGCTGGATGGCATCTGCTGGTACCCCATTGATCTTGATTCCATCGATGAGCTCGTGGAATCGCCTGAGATGTGATCGAGGGCACTCTCCCTCCTTACCACGGAACACTACTGAACCGCGCAGCATGGTGATCACGGAGGTGCTCACCTCAAAGTTGTTGGCTGGGACCTGAGGGTGCTGAATGGGTGGCCTCATGTCCGCAGCCCTAGCGGTCCAGTAGGAGCCCATGGTCTGCTCCTCGGGGATCACAGCATGGTTCCCTGGTTCAGCCATCTCTTCTTCTTCCTCCTCTAACTGCAGCTGTGATAGCGCCTCCTCCGCAGCCAGTCGCGCCTTTAGAGCCCGCTTGAAATTTCTGCAGGTTCGTTCAAGCTCCTGGTCTAGTGGTAATAGATCTCCCGACTGGCTACGGGTCATGCACTACCTGCACACAATCAGCAGAAACAACCCGTGAAGGCACACAGGTGGAAGAAATAAAAAGCAGAAAATAAAAAGCTAGAGTAACAAATTCTCACTTTTCCCCAATAACCTAGAGGGGTCCCCGGCAACGGCGCCAAAAACTTGACACGCCAAAACACAACACCAATCTGCGACCAAGTGTAATCGCAGACCGGGAATGCAGTAACAGGCAAGTTATATTATCAACCCGGGCTTTAGATCTACTGCTTACTCAGTGATTCTCTGTTATCTAGCCAACTAGAGTAAGTGATTGTTGTTTAAACTGAAAGCAGAAATAAAGCAGGAAATTATTCGGTTTTCTTAAGCAGGAAAGAGTCACTCGGGAATGAATTCCCCTAGCTCTTTAGTTAGGTTTCAATTGCAATTTACCCTGGGTTGATTTACTGTTGATTAAACTGCGGAAGATCCGACAGTAGCTTGGAATCTCTTAAGCTGACCAAGCCCTCTCAGTCTAACTACCCGGCAGACGACTAGTCTTCACCGGGATAGAAAGCTGAAGCAGTAAGAACAGAAATTCACTACTGGAATTAGATTCCAGTACAAAGCAGTAAACTGGCTAACTCTTGTATAACCAGTCTCCTACTATCGAATGATGAGACTCTAGCAACCTAATCAGATTCTATCTATCTCAGATTGCAGCAGGAATCAGGAAAAGTTGATCAGACTTCAATTGACTCAATAAACATGCATCATTCGATTAAAATCAAACAGTAATATCATCCCAAGTCATTACAATCAATCCCCTAACACATAGAACTAGGGTTCTTCATCCCCAAGTGAGAGAGAGGTTCTACTCCATAGAGAGAGAAAAGAAAACAGTAATCGGAGTAGTCATACTCATAATGATGAGGATAATCTGCTCCGGGATGATGATTTCCACTCCTAGGACGATCTCCAGGCTTGATTTGATGAAACCCAGCTCCAAGATGGCTTCTAGGGTGAGTTCTTCGCACTTTCTCTCTCTAAAACTCTGTTTTTGCTCCAGAAATTCGATCCCCCAACTTCTGGCTCGGATTAGGCTTTAAAAACCGGGTTTTCCCGAGTTGCACGGCCAGGGTGCACGGCCGTGCACCTCACCATTCTGGCCGTGCACCCTGAAACGCAGCGTATCCCTTAAGTCGAACTCAGGCTTCTTGCACGGCCAGGTGCACGGCCGTGCAATCTTCAGGGCCTGCCCGTGCAGCTCCTCGGCATGAGGCGCACGGCCAGCTTGCAACCGTGCACGGCCGTGCAGCCTCCCTGGTATGCCCGTGCAGCTCCCAAAAACCTCGCCACTCGTCCGTTCTTCGTCCAATCGACCCCAGACTCGCTCCTAAGCCTTCATTCACGTACTAGGACCTGAAATATCACAAACAAGCACAACCTAGCGTAAATCGGCCTAAAACACGAGAATCAACACCTCAAACGGTGTAAGAACGGGGGTAAAAACATGTGTAAATGACGGTCTATCAGGTCGTGTCCATCTTGAATCTAGAGGCATGTGCCACTTCACGAAGAGGGCCATGCCCATCTATAATCTAGAAGCAGATGCCTTTTCAACGAGGAGGATCATGTCCGTCTAGAATCCAGAGGCACGTGCCGCTTCAAGAGAAGATGCATTGACACAAGACAAGAGGCTCTAGGCATGATTGAAAAATGCTAAGTATGAGAAGGCCATGCCGTGTCATGGGAAGGGCCACATACATGATTGAAAAGTCCATAGCCACGAATGAAGAGGCCATGCCTCCTCATGACCAAGACCAATGATACAAAATGTACTAAGTTTGGGAAGGACATGCCGCCTCATGGGAGGGGCCATGTGCATGATTGACAAGTTCATGTCGCATCACGAGAGGGGCCATGATCACGAATGAGAAGGGCGTGGTGGTGGAGCATTCACTAGTGACTAAGTCCCAAGAGGTTCATGGTCGTGAGAGAAGAATGTCAATGACATGAGTAAGAAGTCCATGGTGCCTAGCAAGAGGATCACGGCCCCCTAGCTTTGTGAGACACCACATGCTTATCAAGATTAGCATGGCACAAGATTTGTAACAAGACCATGAGAGGTAAGCTACACTTCAAGACCCACAATGGTTCCAAGAGAAGCACCTAGGCGGTTGAAGGAGTAACCAGCACTCGGAGAAAGCAGGAAGCGGTTCTTTCTGGGAGTTATCCAAGAGGCAGTTGTCTACAACAGTTATCTCTCCATGGCTATAAATAGGAGGAAGGGTCGACAGAGAAATAGGTTCCCAAAACCAACACTCTGACACACATGTCAAGTTTATCCTTTTTTCTCTATCATGTAGCCATAGACGTAGTTTTTAGTTTGCAGCTCTCACTGAACCTCCATAGGAGTAGAGTAATTTAACTTAGTTTTCATTCCCAGAAACCATCAATCAAACACCATCGTTCGAACTTTGGTTGAAGAGGCATGAGCCATGTCTTAGTAATCGTTGTCCAAAGAATTCAAAAGTGCAATCAATCTAAATTCAAAGCAAGTTTTCTCACCGGAAAACAAGAGTACAAATAAAGGAGTTATGATGAAGCTGCCACATGAATAGAATTACGACGTTTTAACTTCTGATAGCCGTTTGGGACTTCAAACCTAATCATGCACAAATGAGGAATGACATGTTTTTGTACACAAATCGTGGCCAAAAAAGTGAGCATTCTTAACGATTTTGACCACGCTTTTGCTCACAAAATATTTTTACGTAGAAACTTAATATTTTTGGCGGGCCTAAAATGTAACGGTTTTTACAATTTGATGCACGTTTTTTACTCACTACTGCTTTCGGCATCGTGTGGTAGTGACTGTGAAAAAAAATTACTCCTACTAATTAGATTTTGTTGGAAAATGTTTAGTTACAGATTTTATACCACACATTAATACACTTTTCGAACTCAAGTCACTCATATGGTATCGAAGTTCCGGACCAACTAGTTGAGAAATCTTGACATGGCATAAGAGCTTTCTATGATCGAGAGGTCTTTTGTTTGAATTCAGACAACCCCATTCTAAGATTAAGCAAACTTCATGTCCATATTAGTAGCTTGAGTTTGAGGGTTGTTGTATAAGATTCATCATTAAACCTATTTCGACACTAAATTTAATTGAAATTAACTGGATTTAATATAATATCATAGTTTTTTGTGATAAACATTTCAAATTCATGTGAAAAGGCTCCTCGTTTAAGAAACCGACTTCTAATAATGAATTCACTTTCAACGAGGGAGACAACTTTGGAATGGAATCTGCTGAAACCGGATGCAGCATCGATGTTTCCGCCTTTCCTACGTTGACAAAGATGAAACGAATTAGCTAGGCTGATCAATATCGTAAAATTCGTAAGCTTGGATCTTGCTATTATGAAGATGAGGATGCTGTCTATCCCACTCCTAATGATATAATATTGCAAGCAATGAAATTCTTCCATCAACCATCCGAATAGGTGTGAGTTGGAAATTTATCAATATGCATTTCACACACATCAATCACTCATTAATTACAATTTTGATTGTTTGCAGGTTGATGGATGTTAAATCGCGAATTAACCACACACATACTCACCCATCCTTACTTAAATCCCATTACATAAGTGGCTTTCGTTTATAGGGAAGAGATACTGTATAAATATAAAACTACGAGTTATTATTTCAGCTGAGTTGTTTTAGTTTTCATACATGCTAGGTGGCGCGATGCCGCGCCTTGTCGCGGGCGGAGATGCTTTATCAGCATGTAGTATGTGGTCCGTTATGGTACTAAAATATAATGTTCCATCAATATTTTGAGGATTTATATGCCAAAAAGATAGACTTAAGTTATTAATCTAAAGATCTATTAAGTTAAGGTACCGAACTATAATTTGTATATGGATAAAACCCATCAAATTTTACCCATTTACCATCTATTTAGATTTCATACTCAACCCAATTGAGTTGGACAATAAAATACCCAATTACCGATGACAAAAAATTGATATCCTGCCAAAATACTCCCATAAATGTTAGTGAACACCATCACAAGAAAAGAACAAAAATGTTACACGTAGGTTAGAAAATTGATTTCTCAATTCATCACGATAGGTTGATAATTAAACAAAGTTGATGGGTTGTAAAAAGAACGACAATATGTAAGATTTGTAGGAGCCTCTTTTTTTATGTAGAAATGACAATACGTAAGATTAGTAGGGGCTCTTATTATTATTTTTAAATGCATTTGAATTAAAATTAAACTTGAGCTATCAAAATGTAAAATGTACATTATAATGACTAATTGGTAATTTTTTAGGCAACAATAACTAGACTTATATACGTAAGATTAGTAGGGGCCTCTTATTTTATTTTATTTTGGTGAAAAATATATTTTATATTCAAATTAAATTTAAAGTATAAAAATATAAAATGTAAATTATAATTATAATGATTAATTGGTAATTTTTTAGGCAACAGTAACTCACTTATAAAGGAGATCTGGAATGGATCTTTGAGAAACGCAATAGCAGTGCATCCAACAAAGAATAACAATGTCTCACGTGGATAATAACTGTCGCGCAAAACTTAGTGGATAAAAGATGAAACAAAAGTTCTTAAATGGGAGAAGGGTAATATATAGGAGGTCCTCTAAATATAAGAAGTTACTAGAAGGATATGTGTGTGAACTGTGAAGAAAAGGAAACCAGTTGCATTTGAAAAATTTGGAAGCCACTAATAAATAGTAACTCAAAATTTTGACTTTTATATATTAATTAATTAATATATTAAATAATAATTTTTACACCTTTTTTACTCACTGCTTTCACCAAATGCTATTATAGCCCAATGGCAACCCGTTTTTTTTTATACTGACACATAGATAATGCATTACGTGAGGAGGTCAGAACATGTGAAGAAATAGTTGCTCCAAATAATTAGAGTTTGTTGGAAGAAATTTAATTATAAATTTTATAAACATATCTCTCAAACTTAAGCCAGTCATATTGTATTAGAGTTTTTATATATAAAAAAAAATTGTATTAGAGGTTGGGCCATCTGGTTGAGAATCTTGACATGGTTTAGAACTTTCTATGACCGGTAGCTAATTTGTTCGAGTTCTACAACCTCGTTCTCGGGCTGTGCAAACTTCAAACTCATATAAGTAGCTTGAGTTTAAGGGACATGTTAGTATGTAGTATAAGATTGATCATTAAACCTCTTCCAATAATTATAGTGCGTTTGGATTGGTGTATTTCAAATGTAAAGTATTTGAAATACATGTATTTAAAATGCATGCATTTGAAATACTAGCATGTGAAATACATGTAATTCAAATTTGTGGTTTGGATACTTATTTGTATGTGTTCTATTTCAAATTTTGTGATTTTTCATTTTTATTTTGAATTTTCTAAGCACTTATTATAATTTTTGGTAAATTTAATTTTTTCCTATAGTTTAGTACCTAAACTTATAACATTTTACAAAGAAGTCCAGAAATTTTGATGGTGAAATTATGGCTTGGTACCTTTATATGTTTTTCCTCACACAAGAGTACCTAAACTTTTTAAATTTTAACAAATAGGTCCAATCTTTTGGTAGGAGGAGGTATTTTCAAATCACTAGTTGTTGAAATGTATTTGAAGTTGACAAGTAATACACAAGACATGTAATTGGAAAATACCCCATGAATTTGACACACATCCAAATACCAAACGTAATGAATATCCCAACAAATTATTTGGCAATAGGAAATCTAAATCACAAATACCAAATCCAAATCATTCTATCCAAACACACCTTTAGTGTTAGTTGGAATTTAACATGATATTAAAACCTTATATAATCGATAGGTGTTACGTTAGAATCTCCTAAGTACATAGTGATTTTCAATGAGAGAGACAACTTGGGGATGGAATCTGCTGAAAGCCGGATGCGGCATCGATGATTCCGCTTTACGTACGTTGAGATAGATGAGACCAATTAGCTAGCTAGGCCGATCCATTCCATTCCTAAGATATATAATATTATTCAAGCAACAAAATTCATCCTCTCACATCAATATAAAGCTAGCCCGTTGCACCAAAAAAAATAAAAATATATAAAGCTAGCCCGCTTCCACTCAGAATACATATTAAGTTGCTAACACGAGAGAGAAAAAGAGAGAGAGAGAGATAGAGATGGGCGTACAGGTTGGTCGCTTGGATGCTCGAATGGCCACAGTGATGATGTCGTCGCTAATTCTGACAATGATCAACGTAGGCTTCCACGGCGGTGTAATCATCATCACCGCCGCCCTGGATCCAATGTGCGGTGCCTCCAACGAATGGTTTTGCAGTCCGACCGACTTCGATATGTCAAATGCTCAGGAAATAGTATTATCGAAGCTGGTCAGATCCGCAGCAACGTGCGAGCCGGCCTTCACCATGCGTCATCAGCCTCGTCAACCAACAATACTAGTCGCCTACATGCATTCTTCTTGTGCTGATGCCAGTGATCCCAACTGCGGTGATTGCTTGTACAGAGCGACTCAAATAATGCGCGAGTATTGCCCGGGCAAAGATGGAGCTCAGTACGGGACGGAAGAGTGTTGTGCTCGCTACGAGAAGGACAAGTTTTGTTGAGCTTAATTAACTAATTAAGAAATGCTGTTGTGTATGTTGTCCGAATAAAGTTACCCGCCGTCATGGTTTTGTAGGCTTCTCATAGATATATGTAACGGGAGCACTTCTCCTATGCTATATAGTATTGGTAGTTTAATGTATAACTTTAGATTGTATCATAACAATAAATGTATAAATTTAAGTTCTACCATAAAGGAATTTATACCATTATGTTATGGTACAACTTAACAACTTGAAGTTGTACCATCACATAAAAGTATAAATTTAAGTTGTACCATAAAAGAATTTGCACAAAAAGTATATGTACAATTTGAAGTTGTACCATAACGTTAAAGGTACAATTTCAAGTTGTACCACAAAGACAAAAACCTATAACACCAATGCTATGCTATATAGCATTGTAAAATTCCTCATGTAACGGGGAAGAGATAATACATAGTATAAAATAAAACTAGAGTTATTAATTACACGATGAGATCTGAATCCGGTGATGTTTTACGATGGGTTCTGAATCTAATTGGCCGAGTTTGGCCGAGATATTATGGAAGTAAGCACCTTTGGTGCCCGAGCGGTACTGTCACGGCCTTACTCTTGGTCGTGCGGCCCTAGCTCTCAATTCCGTTAGAGATACTAGGCAGCCTTCTCACAAGCTCTCAAACTCACTCAACTCACAAGAACAAGACACAAGAAGATGGGAGAAACTCTATAGTTGTATTGCTCACAAAAATGATGGATGAGTTACAAGTGAGGGAGATGGCTCCTTATATAGGCCTCTCCACATACAAGGCATCAATGCCCCCTCATAATGTCCCTCTACTACATCAATACACCCATTAAGTCCCCCCCATTATGCACTCTATCAATGTCACCATTATGTGACTCATAAGTGCACCATTAAGCTCTACATTAAGGTGGAGAATCCTAGGAGCATCTCTATGCCACTAGTCTTCCATGCATGCCACATGTGCAGCCGCCATGTTGTCACCTTGTTGGCGCCATGTCATCTGCCACATGTGACATCCTCCCCCACCTATGCTCGCGACGCCCTCGTCGCGTCCTTGCTACGAAATGCCTCCTTCGACCTCGAGCAGCCTCTTTCGACTCTTGAGCCTCGTTGGTGACATTCTCCTTCACTCAATCCACGACGCCCTCGTCGTGGCTCTTTGGCAGACGCCTTCCTTGCCTTAGCTTCATTGCTTGCAAGGTCTCGTTGCACCTTCCTCCAAACCAAGGATGGCCCTGGCTCGCTCTCGAGCCTTGTGCTCCCATGATGTTGCACACTCCTCCGCGGTCTTCTCCGTCGCGTCTTTGAGTGTCCCGCCTTCTCGATCATGGTGGCCTTTCCTTGCTTCTCTTGGCAAGTCGAAGATGATACATCCTCGTCTCTCATGGCTCCACGATGTTGTGCACTCCTCCTTCTCGTCCTTCTCCAACGAGTCTTCGAGTGAGCCGCTGCCTCCACCATCGTTGCCACTTCTCGCTGCTCTTGCCTTGCCAAACACCTCTTGTTTGACTCGAGTTGCTCTCTTGTCATGGGAACCGATCTTGCTCCGCCATTGATGCAGAATCTATTGGCGTAGGGAATCGGGAAATCTTTCTCCCGCACCATGAATTCCATGCCGATGATGACCTGATAATCATCCAACGACACAACCTCAAAGTCTGCCACCCCGGTCCATCCTCCAAGCTTGAGTGGCACCTGGCGCGCTACTCCATGAGTTCTTGTGGCCCTTGAGTTGGTAGCTTTCATCCACCCTCTTTGCTTCTTCTCGTACGTGATGCCTAGCCTCTGCGCTTCACCTACGTCAAGAAGGTTGCAACTTGCCCCAGTATCAACCAAAGCTTTTGTTTTCCTTTGGTTGAGCTTCGCCTCTACGAAGCATTGGCCGTGCTGCTCGGGTTGGAGAGGCTCTTCCGCCCGCTTGATGGCGCTCAATCTCTTCATGCAACCGATCTTCGCGACATGGGGCTCCACTCTTGGAGCCTCCTCTGCTTCCTCTTCCGAGCTCGAGCACTCTGCCAGTACGGCCTTCATTGCCGACAACTTGTGCTTTCTTGGGCAATCTCTCACACGGTGTGGACCATCACAAAGAAAGCAAGTAAGTGGTTTCTCAACCTTATGACTACCTCCTTGGTCCGGTCTACCACGCCTTCGTGTGTCTCTATCATAGTCGCGTCCACCTCCATTGCCTCCGAACTCCGCACGTTCCTCCGGCTCGTGGTACTCGACTAGGGACTCGGAAATCGCCATTGCCTCGGCAAGACTTTGCACGCCTCGCCGTTGTAGCTCCAACTTCGCCCATGGTTGGAGGCCGTCAAGGAAGGTGAACATGGCCTCCTTGTCGGTGTAGTCGGGGATCTCGAGCAACAATTCAGAAAACTCTTTCACATACCCTTGAATCTCTCCTTCGTGAGCAAGCCTCCTTAGTCTCGACCGGGCTTCAAACTCAACATTCTCTGGGTAGAATTGCCTCTTGATCTCCCTCTTGAAGTCATCCCATGACTCCATCACGCACGCCCCTTTATTGATATCGCCTTGGGTCCTTCTCCACCACAGCATGGCAACATCACTCAAGTAAAGAGGTGCAGTTTTTACCTTAGTATTCTCATCTCGAATACCCGAAGCTTCGAAGTATTGCTCCAAGCTCCATAGGAAGTTCTCTAACTCCCTTGCATTCCTCGACCCTTGAAAGCTCTTTGGTCTAGGAACCTCCATGGTTGAGGTAGGTTGTGCAATGGCAGGTCCGTTAGCCATGGCTCTCTTCACGAGAGTGACCTCACTCTTGAGGTCTGCAATCTCCTCCTTCACGCCGACCAGCTCAGCCTGGACATGCTCTTTGACAACTTCAATGGCGTTGTTCAAGGATGTGTTGATGGTGTTGTTGATGAGGGCCACAAGCTCTTCTCGTATGCCATCATGACCAATCTCCAAGCTCGACAACCGAGCATTCATACCTTGACAATCGCTTTCGACTTGGGCGAAGTTAGCTCCCAAATCCTCGATGGCGGTGATATCTTCCGCCAACTTCACCTCCACTCTAGAGACACGCCTCTCTAGAGACGTCATAGGATCACGAGTGCTTGACTTGTCACCCTTTGCCTTGGGATTCTTCACGGTATCCCGTCCACGGTGCTTCTCCGCATCGTCATGGACTTCTGATCCAGTCATCTTTGGTGAGGCTCTCGCTCTTTCTTATCTTCCTTCTTGAGGAGTGAGGACACCGGTTCTTCTTTCAGAACCAGGCTCTGATACCAACTGTCACGGCCTTACTCTTGGTCGTGCGGCCCTAGCTCTCAATTCCGTTAGAGATACTAGGCAGCCTTCTCACAAGCTCTCAAACTCACTCAACTCACAAGAACAAGACACAAGAAGATGGGAGAAACTCTATAGTTGTATTGCTCACAAAAATGATGGATGAGTTACAAGTGAGGGAGATGGCTCCTTATATAGGCCTCTCCACATACAAGGCATCAATGCCCCCTCATAATGTCCCTCTACTACATCAATACACCCATTAAGTCCCCCCCATTATGCACTCTATCAATGTCACCATTATGTGACTCATAAGTGCACCATTAAGCTCTACATTAAGGTGGAGAATCCTAGGAGCATCTCTATGCTACTAGTCTTCCATGCATGCCACATGTGCAGCCGCCATGTTGTCACCTTGTTGGCGCCATGTCATCTGCCACATGTGACAGTACCCTCAGTATTTGGGCAGCTTCACTTACCAAAGGGAGGCTTCTTCAATATTCCTCAATATTATCACCATCGTCAATCTTAGGATTGTTAACAATCCAAATATTTTAGCTTTTTCTACTGTTAAAAAATATTTTAAATTGTTCATTCTTTGGTAACCGTGATTGTTAGAAATAACAATAAATTTTTTAGTTTTATATAAAATAATATTTTTATTCATAATAAAAAATTAGAATGATTCGAGAAATATTGAGTATTTATCTATACTTATATTTAGTGGGATAAATAAATAAATAAAAAGGAAGGGATAAAGTGATTTAATCTTGATATTCTTGAAGTTACGGCTTAATCTTGATAAATAAAAATTAGAATGGTTGGAACTACCTTGATATTACAGCTTAATCTATTACATTACAAAAACTTAATGAATTGAAGCTGTGGAAGTATGTGAATCAGGCAATATCAATTTGAATATAATGATTGATTAAGATAGAAAACCTTCTTTTTTCCTTAGAGGCTGAATTTTATCCAATGCTTAATTAACATAATTGGTTTGGATGGATTAAATTGAAACAAATCAGGCTCCGGTTAAAAGGTGGGTACTTTGGTCATATCATCCGAGTTCGAGGTTTCTCTTTAAATTTGAATCATATAAAGTGGTATCAGAGTCCGGTTCAAATTCAACGGCAATTTTAAGATCTCCGATTCAAAATGATCAACAACAAGGAGAAGATCTTATCAAGCGATGGCAGCAGAGCTAGAGCACGACAATATGTTCCATACTCGTTGTTGGGTTAAAGAGAATTTGTGTTCTCTGGTTATTGACGGAGAGATGAAATCCAATTTGATCAGTTCAAGGGCATTAGCTAAGTTAGGGCTAACTACACAATGACATCCTACCCGTTCTTTATGCAATTGTCGATGGAAAAGGGCAGTAGCTAAGTTAGGTTTTTTTTTTTTTTACGGTTAGAGCTTTTGTGAAGAAGATCCTTTGCGGTTGCTGTTTGTATGTGATTCAAGAGATCGACCACGTGGAAGTTATGAGTCCTTGTTATCATTATTTATGACTTATTCTGTTGGTTTGAAACGTAATTTGTACGAGCAAAAGAACCACCAAAATCAACATACATAAGCAAAAAAGAAGCAAGGTATAGGTTGATTTTCTCGGTCGACCTCGTACAGGATTAGGTCGACCGCGAAACCAACACTTGATCTTCATTTTACGTCAAATGATGATGGATAAATGGATACAACACTTCTCTTCTATCTTGTCGACCTCTTTTTGTAAATGGTCGACCATTTTCTTAATGACGCCATCAAGTGGTCGACCTATATACCTTTACGGTCGATCATTTTGCTTCTGACGCTAATGAAAAGGGCTACGATGTTTTATTGTGGTCGACCAACAATGACAACTTACTACTACAAACGGTCGACCACTACATTTTAAAGGTCAACGTGATAAGTCATCAGGGTTAGGGCTGGCTATTTGGTCTGGGCTATTTGGTTTTTCTCGAAACCGGACTGTATAACCCGGACCGAGACCGGACCGAAATCGGATAACAAACAATCCAATCCAATATTTAGGCTTAGATTTGAGGTAAAAAATCGTTTGGGACCGGATCAAAAACCCGATAAAGATCGGATAAGAGAGCCCACCACCCAAAACTTAACCAACTCCTCACTCTTTGAGTCCTCAATCCACTCAAATCCCCACAAGTACAATCTAAAATCAAGACCGAATTGGCACTGGACTGGGTCAAGACTGGACTGTATCCAATCCAATCTTTGGTCTTTATATTCCCGAAAAGACCGGACTGGAAGTCGTTTGTTTATGTCAAATATCGTCTTTACATTACTTTCTTTTTGTTGTAACTAGCATAAGCCCTCTCTCAATTGCTTCGCGTGTGAGCGAGTATGTGATATTTTAAAAATGAATAGTTTGAATTTTGATTAAAAGTAAAGGGCTTGTCATATACAACTCCATATAGTTGACGCAGCAATAAACTTTAATAAAGGATAAAGGTCGTCGAGCAAATGATTTATATGTGTAAGATGTAAACACTGGGTTCAATTTGTTTTGATCATATTAAATAGGTTGGATACTCATAAGTTTGGCTGCTCAACCAAAAGGAAAAAAGATAAATAAAAAACACCAAAGAGGATAAAACTTGCTCCATACCGAAAACTTTACAGACCGAGCTCAACTCACATTGACTGGTTCAAAATGGGTTTTTAACAATTCACACTTGGCTCAACATGTCAATTATTAAAGCGGATAAAACACACTCTCGATACAAAACTCATTAGCACCGGGTCCGGGTTCAATTGTCATTCTTAATCAAAAGGAAAAGGAGAAATAAAAACCCTTAAAGCGGATAAAGCTTAGTCTAGATCAAAAACTCGTTCAGCTAGCCCTGACCCGGCCGAATAGAGTTATTAACAAATTCACACTCGAAACAACCTACCAACTACAAAAGCGGATAAAACTCGCTCTCGATACAAAACTTGTCAATACCATGGCAGTACAGGAGAAATCACTTTCGATCACTACTATATCAACATTAATATCTTCACTGTGATATACATTTTCTTATAGTTTGTCAAACATAAGAACTCACCAACTTTATATCACTACTATATCACTACGATACTGATACAATTAAAAATATCATGATATGATACTGATATGAAGTCATTAAATTATATGTCAAACATAAGATATCATATTAACATTTTATCACTATCATATCAACATCATACTACTATAATATTATTGTTAGTTCTAATATTGTGATATGACAGTAAAAATTTACTCAAAAAATATGAAAATGAATATTATCTTGTAACCCTTGTTTCAAATCAGCTACTTTTCGGAGTTGTCGTTCGGCCTTCTTGTGAATTCAAGCTCTTGAAAAAAAAAAAATTAATGAAATCTGAGACCTGCCGGATTTGGGATCCATAGTTTGACGTTATGTTGACACCATGCATAGGACGAGTAAGAGGAGCACAAAACGAGGTTTGGTTGTCAAAAGGGGAAAGAAGAAGAAGCCTACACGTAACTTGATAAGATTGCTTTATCTTCCACTCCCCTACAAATCAATGTGTCTCACTCTCATATTCTCAACGTTTACCGTCGAAATGAATACAGCTGCCGGCGTACCTTTATATATGTCTCTCTAACAACCCACTTTTCAGAACACATACCCCTGTTTCCGAAGGAAGGGAGGAAAATGGAGGGGAGGGGAAGGGAATTAGGAGGGGAGGGACAATTTGGAGGTGAAGGAAATTGGAAGGAAAATGTTGTTTTATGAAGGAAAGTAGAAATGAAAATGTGTATTGGGAAGTGTGGTGGATATGTTATTTTATTGGGTATATAATAGTAAAATAGTTTAACTTTATTTTGATATTATGTTCATTGTTTATGAATTGTGAATTAGATTTGTAGTTTCTTGCTTATTAATGTGTGATATGAAACTACGTTATGCGTGATGTAAAACAATTTTGTGTTACGTTCATGATTAAAGAGTAATGTATTTAGTCTCCTCATTTTCATTATGTATATCTTGGCTAGTATTTTTTTATACAATTTTTCTATTATTAGACATCAAAGTTAATCTTTTATCATAAAAATTTCAACAAAACAAAAACAAGAAAGAAGAACAAAAAAGAGAAAAGAAAGTAGAATAACTAATAAATTAAAGAAACAAAGAAAAGAGAGGGGAAGTGGGCCACGCAGAGAGGAATATAGTTTTCTCTCCAATTTGGGAGGATTGGTTGTACAGTACATTTTCTTTGTATTTTCCCTCCCTCCCTGCTTTCCTTCCATCTCGCAAACAGGGGAAAAACATCGATTTTTGTGCTTTCCCTCCTCCCTTTTCCCTCCCTCTCTTTTCCCTCCTTAAGAAACACAGGGATATAAAGAAGCTACAACTTATCATGCATAGATTAAAGATGGGGTGTCAGAACTTGGGATAAAGTGGCTGATGAGTCTTGAGTCTTTGACATGATATTAGAGCTTTTTATAAATGGGAAGTCATCTATTCAAATTGTGATAAACCCATTTTTCTATTGTACAAATGTCAAGTACTTATGAGTGGCTTGAGTTTGAGAGGGCATGTGAAAGTTAACTCGGATCAACTCGTTTGTAACATGGTATCAGAGCGTTCTATGATCGAGAGATATTTTACTTAAATCCCCGTGACCCTATGAGTAGTTAAGCAAATTTCAAACCCATATGAGTAGTTATTGTGTGTGTGGATAGGGGGAGGGGGGTAGTATGTGGTAAAGAATTATTGAAACTCTCTCAATAATTAGAGTTATTGACACCAATTAGTTCTTGATAGTTGATACTACCACAGTGACACTACAACAAACAGTACAACTTAACTTACTTCTAATACTTGAATTCTCAATCATGAATTAAAACGTGAAGGTACATATTTATAGAACTAGTCTCACAAATCATCTAACCCTCATAACAAAGAAAACCATTATAATAACTTTCTAAACAAAACATCATTAATAATACTAGTTATGCTAAACATAACCAATAAAAATATCTCAAAATAATCAAATATCCCGACAATTAATTTATATGAAATCCTTGATTATTACCTTGGGTGATGAATAACTCTATAATTCCTAAGCTTGGATTTTCTGGCAATTAGTCAATTATGAAGATGAGAATGCTATCTATATATCCAACTCCTAACGTCTCGCAATATTATAAAGCTAGCCCGCTAACCACGAGAGAGAGAGAGAGAGAGAGAGAGAGAGAGAGAGAGAGAGAGAGAGAGAGAGAGAGAGAGAGAGAGAGAGAGAGAGAGAGAGAGAGAGAGAGAGAGAGAGAGAGAGAATTGGCCGTGCAGGTTGGTCGCCTGGAGCCCTGGACGATTGAATGGCCAGAATACTGTTGCAACTTTCCTTGTTGTCGTCGCTATGGCACCAATTAATTTCCCTCCTCCTCAAGAAGTAGTAAGTACCACTTGCCTACAATCATGCTTCTTGTGCTGATGATATCAATTATGAGGACTGCGTGAGAATTGCCATGGCAAAGATGGAGCTCAGTATGGGACGGAGGAATGCTGTGCTAGATATGAGAAGAACAAGTTCTGTTGAGCTTCATTTCATTAAGAACTGATACTATAGTAATATGTATTTTGTATTTGCTCATGCATGGTTTTGTATGGAACAATGTTATAGCGAGTAACTACGTGAAAAGTTTAATAATAAATCCTGCATTGTAATTAAATATATGATTGTAGGAAAGAATCTTCCAATTATTGGTTAATGACTAATACGACATTGATATAATGATATGACACTGATACAAAGTCATGAAATTATTTGTCAAACATAAGACATTATACCAATAATATTATACCACTATCATATCAACACCGTACCATTATAATATTATATTATTGTTAGCTCTAATATTGTGATATGACAGTGATATGATGACGTGAAAAAATTTTACTTTAAAAATATCATAACGGATATTATCTTGTAGAGCACAAAAAACATATGTTTTTGTGCAATATTTTTTTAAATCCAATGTAAAATGAATACTTTATGGTCTATTAATTTTGATAGCAAATTTGAAAAATGCCATAAAATGAATACTCTATGCCCTCCTGCAAATCTGGGCATCCCCTTATTTTCCCTTTTATCCATTTATGATGGAGACCATTGGATTTTCTTTTCTCAAATTACAATCACTAGATTAGGTTTTGTATGACGACAAAATTAATGGGTTTTGTACCATAATCCTCGCCATTAATTAATATGTAAATCTAATTTTGAAAAATAAAATCCAAAATGAATTTGAGGGGCATGTTAGTATGTGATGTAAGATCTATTATTTAATCTCTCCCAACAATTAAAGTTAATTCAAATCAACCGGTTCTTAACATGGTATCATAATTTTTTTTTATGACCGAGAAGTATTTTGTTTAAATCTCGGTATCCCATTTGTTAAGCACATGGTACTCTAGATTTGTGCAAAATTCACCCATATGAATCCCCCAACAACTCTTGATACCGACAATACAACAAACGCATAGCTTTTTGCGACGGACAAATTCGCGCTAAAGCTCAAGAAATTCGTCGCCAAAGGATTCTATAATGATTTTAGTGTCATTCATACTTACTGCTGGTTCATATGGAAAGAGAGGAATCAAAGGATCTTCCAGCAATCCTCTTGCCCTCAATTGGTGATCATAAAGAAAATCAGAAGTGCAATCGTTGAGTGGACAACAGCCCATGGGAAGTTAAGCCCGGATCAAGGGAAGCTTCTGCTGCAACAATGATGTTTTGGAAGTGTTTGAGTCCTTCCCCTGTTCGTTTGGCTTTCCCTTTTCTTCTGTTTATTTTTCTTTTTGTTGAACTTCTCAACTTTGGTCTCTCTGTTTATTGTTCCAGACCTGTTTCACTTCCACTCCTTGTGGGAGTTTATTTTCCTTGAACCTTTTCCTTTTAATAAAGTTCATCATCATTATTAAAAAAAAATTCTATAATGAACTCTCTTTCAATGAGAGAGACAAATTGGGATTGGAATCTGCTGAAAGCCGGATGCGGCATTGATATTTTCGTGGTACGTACTTGAAAAAAAAATTAGATAAGTTATTCGTATCGATACACACGTCTGATGACTCAAAACTCAAAGTTCGATCAACTACGATGAACTAAGGAAACGTGAAAAATCTACAACTAAATTATTACTAATATCTGACTTCTCATTCATGAATAAAACGTATAGAACACAGGTTTATATGATTTATAGTACTAGTCCCGCAAATAAATAATAACTTTCTAGACAAGATATCATTAATGATACTAGTTGTAAACATAAACAAATAAAAATATCACAAAATAGTCAAATATCCCAACTATTAATTTATATGGAATCCTTGATTAATAAATCTAAAATAGCTACGTTGTCGTGAGATGCTATGCACCAATTACCTAGTGTGATCATTAACCTATAATTCCTAAGCTTGGATTTTCGTCCAATTAGTCTATTATGAAGATGAGACTGCTATCTATCCCACTCCTAACATATAATATGGGAGTAACCAAATTCACCCGTCTCACAATATTATAAAGCTAGCCCGCAGGTTCGTTGCCTGGACGATCGAATGGCCACAGTAGTGGTGCATCTTTCCTTGTTGTCGTCGCTAATTGTGACAATGATCAACGGAGGCTTCCCCGGCGGTGTAATGATCATCTTCTCTGGTGAAGCTGCCCTGGATCCAATGTGCGGTGCCTCCAACGAATGGTTTTGTAGTCCGACCGACTTCGATAGCCCAGGAGCGGCGGTACTAGCATTAGCGTACCTCACAGTCCCATTAGAGTGCGAGCCGGTCTATGGTACCACGTTTCCTCCTCCTCAAGCAGTACCACTTGCCTACAATCATGCTTCTTGTGCGGCTGATCACAGTTATGAGGACTGCGCTGACTGCTTAAGCAGAGCGACTCAACAGATGCGTGAGAATTGCCATGGCAAAGATGGAGCTCAGTATGGGACGGAGGAGTGTTGTGCTAGATATGAGAAGACCAACAAGTTTTGTGGACGTTAATTAATCAAGAAATGATACTATTGTTCTATGTAGTTTTGTATTTGCTCATGGTTTTGGATGGACAAAGGCTTCTCATCCATATATGTAACCGGGGAAGAGATATATGTAACAGGGGAGGAGTCAGGATTCGACGTTCGGATGGAAGTTTTTCATTCAATTGTTTCGAAAGGGAAATAAAAATTAAGAAAATTATATTTATTATTATTATTATAGTCGCATTTTTTATATTATTTTTTGTTTTTAAAATAAGATCTATACGGCATCTTCATTAGTTTATATGCTTCTAAAATTAACATTGATTTTACAAATTGCAATTGTAAGTGAGCCATGATTCGGAGTTCCTAAGGGAGTTTTATAATTTTGTTAACAGATATTCTCCATTGTTTTATATTGAGTAACCTGTTTCTAAATTAATCACTAGTAATATCTCACCCACCAAAACACAAATATGTTATATATGGTCATCGTATGATCGAAGCAACAGAAGTGAATTGGGGTGAAAATACACGATTACAACTTACTATAAAAAAAAGGTGTAGGAACGTCGCTAACCTCAGAATTTGAGAACCACGGGCTGCTACTTACCAAGCAGCACCGAGAGTTCCTCCAAACACTTCAGTAATTCAGAATTTGAGAACCACTGGCTCATCATTAGTGAAGTGTTCAGAGGAACTCTAGGGGGCGCCTGATCTTTTCTTTCTATTTCTAAATTTCGAGCAACGTAACGGTGTTGCACTGATGCTGAATGTTGAATACATGGTTTGCTGCAGAACCCTTCCTATTTATACTGAAACCTCGGAGCCGCATATAGAGATTCGGTACGGTTATGAAACTAGACGGGATTCGGGCTATGGCTAGCAGGTTGAAGGACAGAATAAGGAGAGGGAATCATATTATCATTTCACCTTCAACTTCATGGTTCGTTTTTGTCCAAGTACCTAGCTAGAATTGTAGCGAGTAGGAGTGTACCTAACCTGGATTACGCGCGTTATGTAACTATGCACAGATGCGTCAGATGGTTCAGTAACATGTGACCCTGCAATTCACTTTTTTTATGAGGGGAATATCCCACTGTCCTTTTATTTGTGTCATATGGACACAATGCTAACATCTTGATTGCCTCCTTTGTTCCTTCTTTTTGGCCATAGGGCAAGTGAATGTGGACAGGGTGAGTGGGTAAGTGAAGAAAGAAAGAATGGAGGGGGGAAAGGTCAGAGGGTGGCAGGGCATAACATGGGAGCATAGTGATAGGTTTCGTACTACATCCATAGTAGTAGTGATCTCTTTCATTGGGACGTCGGTAAAAAAAAAAAAAAAACCCCCAAAAACTGCAAAAGAAACCGATGGTGGAGGATTTTCTCTTCCCTGGGAATCTCAACTTTTGTTGATTTTCTTTCCCCTGGTATCCAACGTCTATGGGCCAATTCGGGACTCTGTAAACATGCTAGTTATGGTCGTTCAATTGCGCATTTCCTATGTTATACTCATTAAAATGGTCGATGTATTTGTACCAAATGGTTGACCACTTTGTTGAAATGGTCAAACGGATGTACTATTTTTCATTCTGCTATTTTCAACAAACAGTCGACGCTTTTTCCACTAAAAGGTCGACCACTTTACAAAAAAAACGGTCTATCCTTTCCATCAAGTGGCTACCTTTTTCACCAAGCGGTCCACCACTTTCAATAATCGGTCGACCTGATGAACCATGTAGAGATGTCAACAAAACCCGAACTCACGAGTATCCTACCCGACCCAACCCGGTCAATACGGGTAAAACCCGTTTTGACGGGTTTTGGGTCGGATTCGCGTTTAAACGCGCCACACCATCACCGGGTTGGGTTTGGGTTCAGGAAAACCCGGCCCATGGGTACCCACACACACTCATATAATTAATTTTTTCGATATATTTAATATTCTAAACAATATATCTTCCTTAACAACTAATCTTCTTTATGTTTGTGGAGGAATGTCTAATTTGTTCTTTCTAATTGTGTATGATGAAGTTGATATTATGGAGTGGAAATGAATTTGATATTATGGAGTGGAGAGTAAAGAAGTTTAGTTGACAAGGAGGAAGGAGCTGTCAATTAATCATTTTGTTTATAGATGTTTATCTTTAATTTTGAACAATTTGAATTGATAATTTGCGGTTTGCTTGTATGCTCTAGATTGGTGTTTTTTTGTATGGATAATATTTATGAGAAAGTTAATGTTAGACTTTTATTTGGAAGAAACTTATTGTAAATTTTTTACCGCAAAATTCCACGGGTACCCATGAACCGCGGATACCCAGCGGGTTGGGTTGTGTTTGAATTTTTCAAACCCAGCGGGTTTTACCCTGAAATTTTTTGGAGGATAAACCCATGGGTTTGGCAAAACCTGTCCCAACCCGACCCATTGCCATCCCTAGAACCATGGCTAGTGATATAATCATAAATAATCTGAGTCCAATAATAATAGATATTCTCCTGGTAAGAGATATAAAATTAGTACAAAGGCTGCAAGCATAGATGGCAAGTTTCTCGAGTGATTGTTCTCCCGTAGATTTAGAACATGTTTTGCATATTTATTTCTTTTATTTGACTTACTCTATAATAACTTTTATCTTTCCTTAAATTCTAAGTTTGCTTGTTTTTATACTATATTTGTCTTGTGATGGGTCAACTTTATTGTTGGTATCGTATGGTCCATTATTTTCCTAATGTAAGTGTAAGGTAACTGTGCCATCTGGTCAACCGTTCGCCGAAAGCGGAGATCGTTCGCCGAAAGCGGAGATCGTTCGCCAAAAGAGGTAAATAAATCACTTTACATATTTGGTATCCTTTTTTGGCAGAAGTGGTCTACCGCCTCCACGAAGCGGGTGTAAGTTAAAGGTAAGTGTGTCATAGGTCGATCCATTGATGGAGGCAGTGGACCGGTTGCCTCAAGTGGTAGACCACTTGGGGGAAGAGGTCGACCACTTGAAGGTAAGTGTGTCATCAGGTCGACCCATTTCTGGAAATGGTAAACCGGTTGAGACAAGTAGTGGACCACTTGGTAGAAATGGTAAAACCATTTTCTGGGAAAGTGGTCGATCATTTGGTGGAAGAGGTCGACCTATTGAAAGTAAGTGTGTCATCATTAGGTCGACCCATTTTCAAAAGCGGTAGATTGGTTGACCCAAATGGTAGACCACTTGATGGAATAGGTCAATCGCTTTATCCAAATTACGGTGACTTGCAAGTCACCATAGTCACACCCCTTCTATAATTAATGTCATTCAGTTGTTCCTCGGATTTAATTTTGTTGGATAATAAATTATCTCAACAATTGCAAAATGCTTATTGAGAAAAGATGAGATAAGAGGAAAATTCTCAGTTTCTTTTTGTTATCACTCTAGCTTCAACATCATCTCCAATCTCCGTAAACAAACACCTACCATCAACTGATTCATTAATTAAAATTTTAGGCAAAATACATTTGTATAGCCAAAATTTTCGCATTTGTGCCAATAATAACCACATTTGGAGAAATACCACTTATAGCTAGAATTTTGAAAGTTTCATGACGAATATAGCCATTTCCGTTACAAACTTTAACGATGTTAGAAACTCCGTAGCTTAGATTACGTTAGATTGACTAGGATGCCAAATCATCGCACACGTTAGCGACAAAGCATCATATCTTTGCCACGTCATTTAATTTTGAGTTATAAAAATTATTAGTTTTGAAAAAAAGAAAACATAAAATATTCTTTTATCTAATTTTCCCTTATCCCATACCAGTCGTCTCCTTACTCCAAACCTGGCGGCGGCGGCGAGCAGTGCTCAGCCACCATCTTCTCGAAGACCTGCAAAATCGCAGAAGATTTATCTTCCATCTCTAACCCCAAACGATACCCGAGTGAATATCTTGCCCTTCCTTCTCCCTGCAATTCCCTATTCCATCCTCCACTGCAGCAAATCTTCAGCTTCGGACCACCACTGGAACCCTTCCTCTTCTTCTCGTCGATACCAATCCTCTAGTCGACCCACCAGCTTTGTCGCTGACCCATAAACCCGAAAACAAGATCTGGTTTGGATGAAGTGATCTGGTAGTCATCCATCTTTGTGTACTTCTCCACGTCTCTCTCCTACTCTGTATATCTGCAGGGTTGTTGTGGGTACCACCATGGAGATTGAAGCGGCGATTGAGCCCCAATAGTTTCTGCCTCCAGTAGCGTCCACGTAGCATCGGAGCCGCTTCAGTAGAATATAGGTGAAGAAAGGTAGGGCAAGAACGATTGTTGTTGTTACTATTCTTGTTATTTTTATTGTTGTTGCTGCCATCGGAGGAATCTTGGTGACGAAGGTGAGAGGAGTGGTTTTTTTTCAAGGGTTAGGGAATTGGATCTTGCGATTTGGGAATCAGGGAATGGGTTTTGTGAGGGTGATTGGGGATTTGTTTGCGGTGGGGGATTCAATTTTGCGGTGGGGGATGGGAGAATGGAGATGGTTACACGGAGAAGACGACTTCTCTTTTAATGTTAAATCCCACGTGGCAATGTTACTAACGAAACGTCACCATGTCAGCGTTTCAGTTAGTCCAGTCAACTTGTTGGATGATACCGTTAAAGAATTGGACGGAAGCGGATATAAGTAGCATTTCTCCAAATTTGGCTAATATTGGCACAAACGCGAAAATTTTGGCTATACAAGTGTATTTTGTCAAATATTTTACATGTCATCAATTCGCATTATGCAAAGATCCTACAAGGTTAGTTAATTTAATATTGACATAAATTTAATCATATGTTACTTTCTAGTATTTTATTTTATTGTTAGAGTATATAATTAAAAGCACAAGCAGCACACTTTTATACTTTGTATTAAGAAAAAAAATAAGCTATTTATCTTTCTATGGTATCAACCAATTCTATGATAAGGTACAACTTGTTCTATGATAAGTCTTTTCTCCTAAATAGTAGAAACAATATTAAGTTATTCCTTTATTATTAATCGAAATTACATTGTTGTTAGTTAAAATATTTAACATGTCATCAATTCGCCTTATGAAAGTTCTGCAAGGTTAGTTAACTTTGGCATAACAGTTTAATCATATATTACTCTCTAAAATTTGATTTTATTACTAATCCATATAATTAAAAGCACAACACTTTTCACATTTGGTTAAGAAAAATAGGCTATTTTCTTTTTCCTCGATAACAACCAATTCTACGGTACGGTACAACCAGTTCAGCAGTAGGTTTTTTCTCCTAAATAATAGGAACAATGTTAAATCATTGTTTTATTATTAATCTATATTCCATTATTGTTGGTTAAAATATTTAACATGTCAACAATTTGCATTATGAAAAGGTTCTGCAAGGTTAGTTTACTTTGGGATTGTTAGCTAGCGTAAATGAAAGGCACAATAACGCGAAGTTAAAATGTTGGCATAATAACAATCATGCGCTAACTAGTTTATATATACACAGTACTAGTTAACCCCCCAACACACCACGTACGTATAGATTTCATATAGCTAGCTAGAGAACGTATTACGTACTTATTCTGAGATAAATGGTTCAGTACTTAGTTCTCCAGAAACTGTTTCTGGGTTTGAATTTGCATTGGCTGAAAGGGATTGGAGGAAAGTCTTGGCAATTAAACTAGGACACTTCCTTTAGTCTCCGAACATGATACGCGATTTCACGATACTATTCTCTAACACTTATACTTTGCTTTTTTCCCCCTATCTCTTTCTTTCGTTCTCTTAGCCACACCCTCTGTCTAGGTTCACCCAGCCCATGCAAAGATGCGATTAGAGGTGGCAAATGGATTTATTTATGGATTGTTGGATTGGATTGGTGGATCTATGGATCAAATGGATTGGTGGATTCATGGATTATCCATGAATACAAATGACAACCTCAACCTCAACCAAGGACCAATATGTAAAATGTGAAAAAGTTTAGGTACTAAAATGTAATAATGAAAAATTTTAGGTACCAAAACATAATTTTTGATTTGGATCCATGGATCAATCCATGAACTAGCAATCCAATTGGATTTGGATCAAAAGGATTGGATTTAACAGCCTGTTTGGAAAGGCTAAATTTTGAAGAAATGGAATTCCAATTCTCAAACTTTTCATGATTTTCTGGTTTGGAAGTAAAAAATAAAAAGGAAATGGAATTTCAAAAGGTAAAAAGTTGAAAATTCTAAATCCTATCAAAAGTGATCGGAATTGGTGGAGGGAGTGATGGAATTAGTGGACCCCACATTAATTTTGACTCACTTTTACAAAAAAAGCCTTTACTACTTTTGGATTTGAAATCATTAATACCATGGATATTATTGTAAAAGCACTTGTAAGAAATCATTTTCATTTTTCTCAAAACATAAAAAGATGAAATCATATTCCAAACTTTTGGATTTGTTCCAAACATAAACTCTTGAAATGAATTCCCACTTGAATTCGGGTTCTCACAAGAAATGGAATTCATTTTCCAACATAATTATATCCAAACAAGCAGTCAAGATCAGACATGTTGTCCGGCAATTCCCCCCCCCCCCCGGGTATTACCTGACCTTTCAACTTGTTAGGCTCAATTATCCATTCTATTATCAATATTTTTCATTCTTAAAGTGTTTTTTCCTACGTTTTATTGTAAAAAGTAAAATTTACTTGTATTTTTTTTTAACAACATGTAAGAGTGGGTCGACCCGCGCGGGTTTTACCCGCCCGACCCGTAGTAGCGTGGGGCTTTTCATAAGATTAGATGTATTGTTTGCTAACTTGTATGTGATTTGTGACGGTCGTGTTTCAGAGGTTCAAAAGAAACTCTTAATGGAATCTAAATCGGTAAGTGATTTTAGCTCTATGAAATTATTTAATCATGGTTGTACTATTTTAGCACAAAATATCCTAATGTTAACTTTTCCAATACGACTTTCGGTATGATTTTATAGTTTTTGGTTTTTTGTGAACACACATCGATGCTCGGGTTGGAGCAACATGTGAAGTCTGATTCAAGCACAAAATACCCTCATGATAACTTTTTTGGCATGACCTTCAGTATAGTTTTACAATTTGTTTTTTTTTTTTGTTTTGTTTCTGAACATAAATTGAGGCTCGGGTTGGAGCACGTGTCAAGCCTTATTTAACCATGGTTGAACTACAATTTTAGTACAAAAATACTCTAATACTAACTTTTTTGTTGTGACCTTCGGTATGGCTTTAAAACTTTTAGTATATCTAAACATAAATCCAGGCTTGGGTTAGAGCAACGTGTCAAGCCTAATTTAGCCATATTTTAAGCACGGTTGAACTACGATTTTAGCACAAAATACCCGAATGTAAATTTTCCAGTACGACCTTCGGTATTATTTTACAATTTTTCATTTTTTCTAAACATAAACCAAGGTTCAGGTTGGAGTAACGTGTCCAGCCTATACCAATAGCGTTCTCTCTAGTTTTGGATGAAAGTTACAATTCACCCGCCAAACAAATAAGAGTAAGGAACTAAGGATTAATAACCTTCATGTATCAAACAAATTCAAGAAGTTGGAAAAATTCTATAACAGCCACGTGTTTAATTTTGAAGTGGCTGTTACCTACAACAATTAAAACTACTTGTCATTTTAACAAATCTCTCATGCAACAGTGACCACTTTGTTACTTTAATTAGTAAAATAAAATAATAATAATTAAGATGTTTATTATTGTACACAGCTCATAACAGGCTGCAAAGAAATCTGACAGCCGGTAGTGGCATCAACGTGGTTTACAAGATTGCTCTATCTTCCACTCTTATTCACGACTAGTTGGCCAAACCAGCTCTTATACTATGTGAGAAACTAATTGTCAAAATAATTCGAATTGCTTGGATAAGTTTATTATGAATTTTATACCACTCTCTTTTGTATCTGCTTATATACAACATCAAGAGTGCTCAAGATTTGGATATCTTGGTTATATAATAATTGATGTTATTCGGACGAATTGGAATTCTGGCACAGAAGTATATATGTGCAAGATACGTATGTGTCTATGAGATATGCTTTAGGGTATTTTGCCGGAGTTTGCGACGGGAGAAGAGGCGGTGTGTGTATGTTCCAATGTGACTTCATTGTTCAACAAAATCTTGCCGGGGTTTGTAACGAGAGAAGAGGCGGTGTTTGTTATACAATAACCTAAAACTCCTACGCTTGGATTCTCTTGCAGTCTATCCCACTCCTGATATATAATATTGCAAGCCAACAAATTCATCCATCTCACAATATTATAAAGCTAGGTAGCTCGCTTTACGCAGGACACATTTTAGCTTAGCTAACAGAGATAGAGAGAGAGAGAGATGGCCGTGCTGGTTCGTCGCTTGGATGCTCGAATGGGAACAGTGCTGATTTCGTCGCTGGTTCTGACAATGATCAACGTAGGCTTCCCCGGCGGTGTAATGATCATCACTGCTGAAGCTGCCCTGGATCCACTGTGCGGTGCCTCCAACGAATGGTTTTGTAGTCAAATCGATTTCAATATCTCTGCAAGCGCCCGAATAAAGATAATATCGAAACTAACATCCAAATCAGAGTGCACTCCGGTCTATGAGGACGAGGATCCTAATCATCCAGTCGCCTACATGCATTCTACTTGTGCTGAGGACAATGATACCAGCTGCCGTCGCTGCTTTAAAATAGCCAATGACCAGATACTCGACAATTGCACTGGCAAAGATGGAGCTCAGTACGGGACGGACATTTGTTGCGTTAGATATGACAAGAACAACTTTTGTGGAGCTATAATAAATTAAGAAATGCCATTGTATATGCTTTTGTGGAACAGGGTTTGTGTTAACAAAGGCTCCTCTTTGATTGACTTACTTCGTCAAAGGAAGCTTTATATCCGCTATATGGGGCGATCTTGGAGGGGGGCTTTTTTTATATGTTCTTTTTGGCTGTATCGTGTCTTTTTCCCCCGTATTTTAGTTAGGGTCGTGTTTTTGCTCTCTTGACTTTCTTCGTAGTAGCTCGACTGCATACAAACTACTGAGTATAGTCGGAGTCAGTCTTGTAATTGAGTCGTTGTTCCATGTCTATGGACTTGGCTTGGTTAAAAGAAAGGAACGAAATGAAGCCCTGCTCATCGATATATGCAATGGGGAAAGAGATTCATCATAAATAAAACTACGAGAAATTAATACAGATGAGTTATTTCGGCCAAGCAAATTGATAATATATAAAATATTAATATATTTCGATAATTTGAATTGAATTTTTTTTAGGATTACTAAAATTCGAACATATAAACTGTGGATCCAATCTTCTTCTCATGCATGCCAGAAAGAAAAACATATTCCAGATGGATGATCAACTTTTCGTTTATAACCATCAAAATTAATTGTCTTTTGTTAATGATGTCGAAAATTTGTAGGTGAAAGAGTTAGGATCACAAAACATGAGATGCTCAAAGATGACAACATTGTTATGGAAAACGTTTCACAAAAGTATGTTTCTGCCACACAAGTCATATATAGAAATCGACACATGCACAAACAACGCCCGAGCCAATAGAATTCACTATTTCTACTTAAGGAATTTAGTTCCCCTCTACGGTACCCAAGGTTATTGGAACTATTCCTCCCAGGATAGAACGGACGTACCTTTTCTGGCTGTACCGGTACTTGAAACACCAGAATCCGACGAACGCAACGATCAGAGAGAAGTCACACGACTCTGTTTTTCTTTATGAGTTTGTAGAGAGGAAATGCAATGAAGAATGAAAAACTCTTTATCTTTTGGCCAGAAAAATTTCTTGGGAAATAACTTGTATAGAAAACAGAAGGGGGTAGGTGTTTATTTATAGATAATGAAGGGGTGCGAGTGAAGGGATGTGACCCTTCAATTGGGTGGTTACACCCCAACCATTGCAATGGTTCAGTGAAGCGATGTGACCCTTCAAGTGGGTGATTACACCCCAACCATTGCATCGGTTCGCCATAGTAGTTGGACCGGTTGGTTTCATTCCAACCGCCACATCGGTTCGGTCCGATTCGGTTCAACTTGGTTTAATCAATAACTCACCAACTATTGGCTTATTCCCCTTTCATTCTCATTCACACCTTTAAAATCCCAACAATCCCCCACATGAAAGAGAATGCTAAGTTTTGAAAACTATGCAAAAAAACTGTGTGACTCTCAACTAAGAATTAGTTATGTTAGGATAGGTGGGTTTCCCTTTGAACCTTCCCTAGTGAACATATATCGAGTATACTCACCAATCGGTAGATATGATATCTTTGAACCGTCGGTTTTTCTTGTATACTAAGACAACATATGTCACACAACCAACTCTTATCCGCTCGTTGGTTCTCATTGCTGTGTTTGTTTCAGCCATAAACACCGCCTGGCTTCATGAGTGCGTAGAGAATTGGCCTTCTTTTATTCTCCTTGAAGCGGCTCCACTTCATACTCACATAGGTGATTTCTAAACATGTATTCCGAAAATACACTATTTGATCACAACACGTGTCAAACTTAGAAACCATTAAAAACCTTTCATATTTAGGTTTACCCTTATATTTTGGACATTATCTCATCATGAGAATGGACTTTGAATAAGTTGACAATGTCGGACCATCATTCACAACTTTGTTTTCTCCTTGAACCTAGAAGTTGGGTCTGCCAATCCTGCTTAGGTAGAGTTACCGCCACGATGATTTGTCCTAGGCCACGAGTCCATTCCCTTCGATGCTATCGTTAATTTCTAGGTAGGCCTAACGTTTGTTATCACTTGATCTAAGATGATCAATCCAAATAACTTTGCTAGAAATTAATCAATCCATAGTGTTACATTTCCATTATCTTTGACGAGATTTATCACATAACACTCCTAGCTCTTGCAATAACACCTTTGTGCACAAGTGCGTTTTATTAACGCCAGTCTTTGCGGGCATACTCTAGAACTTCACCGGTCTTAGAGTGGGTACATAGTTTAACTTGGAAGTTTTCCAAGGTACTGCTCCCCATAAACCATAAATGCATATTCATTCTTAGATTGCCTTTTGGTTCATCCGGTGAGTTCCCTTTGGGTACAATACACCAAAGACTCGTCTCTTTTCAATGCACTACACATCTTGTGAGCTTGACTTGATTTTATTGCCTTGCAAAAATCATAACACAGGCCAACGGTATTGAAGTCTCTCCACTTCATTAACCTTAGAGTACTTGAGCTTCACCAGTATCTCTTTAAATGTAGTGACATTTATGACTTAGCTTAGGGTTTACGCAAAACTTCTAAGTATCACTTTCACTTTAGAATCACCCAAGCGATATTCCATATTACTTCTCCCCAATTTATCCCCCACATTTCAACTATTTTGCCATAGTTGTTGAAACCAACGTTTCCGGTTTGGGGAATGTTGTTCATATACATTCATGTATATGGTCAAAATCATCTCTTTGGGAAGAGTGGATCAACATCAATGACATAACGTCAATATATGCTAGAGTATACTCATAAGTTATACCCTTGGACTGGGTTAACTCCACGAGGTTTAAAGGACTCTCACTTTCTCATTGGACACCTTCATACTTTCAAGTATGACTTCATTTACCTTTCCACTTTTGTCTTATGGATAGGTTAGCGTCTCATTATAGGGTCTTGAGATAGTAGCCGAAAGAATGGCTAGCTCTTCTCCCCCACAATTCTACCCTTTGCCAAACATCATGGAATAATCCCATTTATTTTCCATGGTTTTACTTATTGAACTTGCCAACCACTATATGTATCTAATTGTTTACCAATGGTATGATCTCACTTGATTAGCATACCACAAACAATTCAGATTTTATTAGAATCATCATCCAATTACTTACCAATGGTTTTGCTCAAGGCAACTTGAGACGTCATAAGTAATTCAGATGCATTCTAGGAATGGAAAGCCCATCTAATTACTTACCAATGACATCTCATTTATGTAACATGATATACCACATGTAATTCAAACGAATTTCTAATTCAATTGTCTAATTACTTTCCAATGGTATAAACTTCATAAATATACCACAAGTAATCCAGTCTTTAAGTTCAATCTGATCATCTCAATTGAGCTCTCATTCCAAATTGTTTTCCAATGGTACACATCTATCTATACCATAAACAATTCTGGCAATTAGCTCCACGTTGATAATCATAGTCAAATTGTTTACCAATGGTATAGTGTACTTATACCATAAACAATTCTGACCTAATGCTTATCTTGATGACGACCATCATTTGGCAAGCTTATTAAACCCTATAAGGATCAATCATAACTTCATTTTCCTTGCCCTCGTGGCATAGGAAACATCAAGTCCTAAACCACATACATAATAAACAAATTATTATGTCATCACAAGCATCTTAGGAATTATAATTCCTTATCACTTATGGCTTACTCGTAATGCAATCCTTTAAACGTGCATTAACCAAATTTCATCTCCAACACATTGGAGGTATACTCTTTCATAACTATGTTCAACTTAATTTGAACATAACCTATGCAAACATTCTGGCTTAGATAGACTTGACTCACAAGTCCCCACTTGCCATGCGCCATAGGATTTACACACCTATGATTGTACATAGTTTCCCACTAGATAGTTTATTACTATCCAAACCACCGTTACTTAGAGTCCATGAAGGACTATCATAAGTACGTCCATCATCTCATGCATCACCTTGAATGGAAAAAGTGTCCAAATTAAATTGGTACAATTGTCATTCATCCATGCCACATAATTGAGATGGACAAATGCAATAAAAGCATTAAAAATTTGTGGTTAATTTTGGAACCAAACAAACTCGTAAGGTTTTATCCAACTAATTTTCCACTTGTAGATAAGAACATTTGTCCTTCATTCATCATGTAAATACACGAATTACATAGGCACACACATATTAATACCATATGTATACATACACACATACATATGTCTACTCCTCAAGGGAGATTACAATACATATACAAGAATCCTAAGGATTCTTGGGGTCGAAGTCAGGATCAGAGAGGCATTCATCGGTCTCTATGTCGGAGTACTCCTCCTCGTTCTCCGATTCCTCAACTTCCTCTTCTTCCCCCATACTCTCCATCGAGTCCACATGGGTGCCCAAATCATCCACATTAGGACCCAGTGAGTACTAATCATAGATGGGTATATCATCTAGAGTCCAATAATTGGTTGGATGCTCTCCACCAATGTCATTATATAGCCAATCCCCGCTATAGTAAAAAAAATCGATCCACTCTTCTTTGTCAAACTCCATTTCGGGAGTAGAGAGATCAATGATCTCCGGATCTGATTCGATATTGATGACCTCTACGACGTCATCGTCATCTTCATCAACATTGACGGGGTGATCCGGCTTTGGAATGCTTCCAGCCATCTTGTACAATTCACTTCAAGAGTGCAAAGAGAATAACAGAATCATCTGCATCACGCACACATGTACAAGACAAAGTACGACCAGAGACAAAAATATATATATGCACGCAGGCCAAAATCCCATGAAACCTACTGATACTTGCCATTATCGACCAGTAATTGTCGAAATATAATATAGATCTATATATAATTATCCACGGTGCCAACAATTGCAAGCATGGAAGATTATATATATACAATCATGGCAAATTTTTTTTTGATAATGATGATAAATTAGAAAAGAAAATGAAGCAGTACAGAAATAGCCAGGCAAAGGTTCACTAAAAGGTGAACCAAAGAGCCCAGCAGACAAAAGAGGAACAGGAACAAAACAGCAGCAAAGGCTACGGAAAAAAGTACAGCGAAAGAAAAAGAAAAGGAAGAGGCAAGGAAAACAAAGAACCCCAGAAAACTAGCTAGTTGGACCAAGCCAACCCTGCTAGAAAACCGAAACAGAAAGCATCCTAGACCGCAAAACCAACCCCAAGAGTGAGGCGACAAACACAAAACACAACCGCTACCATCCCCAGTGTGCATTTTTTTTCTTAATCATGCAACGTTTCACCTTATTCAAATGCATGCAACGACTTATGAAACTAAAGTGCTAATATCATCATTTTACTAAAATGAGAATCGTTTTGCATAGCATGAAATGCATGGGACTTTTCATAACTAAATCAAAATGCATGCGGTGCATAAACACTAAATGACAGAACAAAGTGAACATTACACAACCTAATTGTGCAACAGTACGAATTCGATTATGCCAAATAATATACGAGAACAAAATTAAATTCCTTAAGATTGTTATGGAAAACGTTTCATAAAAGTATGTTTCTGCCACACAAGTCATATATAGAAATCGACACATGCACAAACAACGCCCGAGCCAATAGAATTCACTATTTCTCCTTAAGGAATTTAGTTCCCCTAGTGAAGGGATGTGACCCTTCAAGTGGGTGGTTACACCCCAACCATTGCATCGGTTCGCCATAGTAGTTGGACCGGTTGGTTTCATTCCAACCGCCACATCGATTCGGTCTGATTCGGTTCAACTTGGTTTAACCAATAACACACCAACTATTGGCTTATTCCCCTTTCATTCTCATTCACACCTTTAAAATCCCAACAAACAGTACAAGCAATGTGCATGTACTATCTTGCTGTATCATAACACATGTAGCCCTTATGGATATCACTATGGCCCAGGAAAACATATGAGTAGTTTTAGAGGACAGTTTGGGACGTTCCTGTTTGGAAGGTCCCTAGAGATCAGTGTGGATAATAAGAAATGACTCAGTAGTGATCTTGGTACTACAAGGAAAAGAAATGCTCATAGTAACTAACATTGAAATGTAGGGCGAGGTAACACATCCGATCCTTTAATCCACTGCAACATTTTCTGGGTAAAGCCAAGACTGTCCATAATCTTGAATAGTCACAACCAGTTTACTATGTCAAATGTCTTTTCAACATCGAGTTTGAAAAGTAAACCGGGCTTGCCACTTTTTATCATTCTATCCACTAGTTCAATATAGCAATCAATGGTGCTTCATGAATTTGTCTACCTTTGACACCCGCTTGATGACAGAACACAAACGAATAGAATTGAAAGAAGCTTGCTAATAACCATGTTCATGCTACCCAACAGACTAATAGGGCGGATTCTGTAAAGCTTCTATTAATGAAAAACAATAGCCCAGATCCATTTATGCTTAGTATTCCCGGCCTTCCTACAAATTATCACTTAGCATAATAAAATTATTGAATAACTAACATAATAATTGTTGAATGGGTTGGTAACTTTGTCTCAAAATTATATTTTGTTGACGATACATTCTAGTGCAAATATTAGAGGATATATACGAATAGGGGTGGCTATACGGTCCGTTCGGGTTAAATTGGTCCAAATTGATCCGGTCCAGTCCGTTTTTTTTTTTAATATAAGGACCAAAGATTGGATTGGATACAGTCCGATCTTGATCCGGTCTGGTCCCAATTCAGTCTTGATTTTATATTGAGCTTGTAGGGATTTGAGTGGCCTAAGGCCTGAAAGGGTGAGGAGTTGGTTAAGTTTTGTACTAAGTGCAATGATTTGTGACCGTTTATGCAAATTACCCTTAAGTTTTGGGTGTTGAGCTCTTTTATCCGGTCTTTATCCAGTTTCGATCCAGTCCCGAACGGTTTTTTTACCTTAATTCTAAGCCCAAAGATTGGATTGGATTGTTTACTATCCAGTCCCGGTTCGGTCTCGGTCAGGGTTATACCGTCCGGTTTTGGGTAAAACCAAAAAACCCAGACCAAATAGCCAGCCCTGTATACGAGACTCATAATACTTAACAAACTAATGAAAACGAACAATTAAGGCTAACAAAGCTATTAGTAGGGTTGGACACGTAGGTTGTTAATTTGCGGGTTGATATCGATCCACCCACAAATAACCTGACTCGCAAGTAGTGGATGGTTGATGTGGGTGGATTGTGGATTGCTAAATCTCCCACCCGCACTTATGTGAGTGGGTGGTGGGAGGACTGCGGGTCACCAGAATGACTCGCACCCTATTTTCACATGAGAAAATGTTGTTTCTTATACTCACGAATATTCATGATATTTCCGAACCCCACTACGTACTGACCATACTTCTAAAGGTGGAGAATAAAGAATAGTTTTTTTCTACTATTATTAGTTATTGTGTTATGTAATATATATTAGATATTGGATATTGGAATGCAAATTATTGTTATATCCATAAAATATTGGGATGCAAACTATAAACTATTAATTGTAGGAAATCGCAAAATGAGTAAGTTTTCTCTACACGATAGGTTGATAGAGAAATGAAAATTTTGAAGCAAATATTACATAGATTAACAGAGTGGGAGTGTCTAAATTGATACAGTCTCACTAATTTGCTATGAACTTATTATATATGTTACTCAACTTTATTATTAACCCACGAACCAACTGCACCTAGGGGTGGGTATACGGTCCAGTCCGGTTAAATTGGATCAAATTGATCCGGTCCCAGTCCGGTCTTTTCGGGAATATAAGGACCAAAGATTGGATTGGATACAATCCGGTCTTGATCCGGTCCGGTCCCAATTTTATCTTGATTTTAGGTGTTGGGGGTCTCTTATCCGGTTTTTTACCTAAAATCTAAGCCCGTATATGAGATTGCATTGTTTGCTATTCGGTCCCAGTCCGGTCCCGGTCCGGGTTATACGGTCCGGGACCAAATAGCCAGCCCTAACTGCACCCATCCGTCACCCACCCAACCCAACTCACAAAAGAATGTGGGTGGATAGCGGGTCATAATTATACCAACTCACTAGTAAGCGGGTTGGTCAATTTGACACCAAAACCCACCCAACCCGCCCATTGCCCACCCCTAGCTATTAGTGTGATCACAAATTATATTATTTTCTTAAAAATATAGGCGTGGGAAATTTTACTTATCAATATTACAATTGCTCAACTGTTCCATCAAATAATTCCTTTCCATTTTGTAGTAGAGGTGTGGCGGTGGATCAAATACACTCTAATTGAGCATGGTGGTCATGTTTACTTTAATATATAATGCAAAAAACAAAGAAGGTAGCTGCTTACGTACAACATTGAAGAGTGCTCAGGATTTAGATATCTTCGTATATATTATCGTATATAGTAATTCGTTGATAATGCTGTACGTTATTATTGATGAGCACTGGTTGTAGGTATCATTATCATTGATAATGCTGTTATTGTTGATGATCACTGGTGGTAGGTATCATTTATCGTTGATAATGCTGTTGTTCGATCGGATGAATTGGAATTCCGGCACAGAATGAAGTAGTTGTGTGCAAGATACCTATGTCTCTAAGCGGTACGTTTTAGGGTATCTTGTTGGGGTTTGCAACGAGAAGAGAGTCGGTGTTCGTATGTTCCAATGCGACTTCATTATTCTAAAACTATCTTGCCGCCGGGGTTTGTAACGAGAGAAGAGGCGGGGTTTGCAGGTTGGCTGATCAATTACCAAAATTTCCTCCATCTCCCAACATTATAAAGCTAGCCCGCTTTACTAATTAAGAACATATAACATTGCCCACTAACCACGAGAGAGAGAGAGAGAGAGAGAGAGAGAGAGAGAGAGAGAGAGAGAGAGAGAGAGATGGCCGTGCAAGTTCGCCGCTTGGAAGCCCTAATGGCCACAGTGCTGATTTCGTTGCTAGTTCTGACAATGATCAACGGAGGCTTCCACGGCAGAATAATCATCACTGCTGAAGGTGCCCTCGATCCAATGTGCGGTGCCTCCGACACATGTTTTTGTAATCCAACAGACTCTGCTTTCCCAGAGGCGGTGGATAAAGTATTATCGGACCTCAGAGTCAGAGTAAAGTGCGATGTGGCCGACTACAACTATGGTTCTCAATATACCTACATACATACTTCTTGTGCTAATGGTCCCACCTGCGATGATTGCTTAAACAGAGCGACTCAAATAATGCGCCAGAATTGCCCGGGCAAAATTGGAGCTCAGTACGGGAACGAAGAGTGTTGTGCTAGATATGAGTTGAACAACTTTTGTGGATATCGATACTTTGCAAAGGAGAAAGAGACGCATCATAAATAAATTAAAACTACGAGTTATTAACGGGGAAAGAGATACATCATAAAACCAGAGCGACTGAAGTGATGTACGACAATTGCCCGCCCTAACAAACATGCTATGTGTATGCTTGTGCTAATGGTCCTCTTTTGTTGACCTTTCCGCTTGTATCGTATCTTTTTATTTTTTCTTCGTGTTTTAGTTAAAGTCTGGTCTTTTGCTCCTTTGAGCTTCTTCAGAGCTCCCCTTGTAGTGGCATATCATATCATGCTCTTTTATAGTAGTTCAGCTGCATACAAACTACGAAGTATAGTCAGGGACAATCTTGTAGTTGAGTCGTTGCTGTAGTTCTTTAGACCTGCTGCCTTGGATAAGCTTCCTTTAAACTTCGGGATTTCCCTGACACTATTATTGCAGAAGCTTCCTTTGGATAGAATGACGCCCTTATGGTCTTAATTAACGGGGCTATCCATCCAAAACAAATGCTTTATCTGAGAAGGGGAAGTCCATCTATTCCATAATTTACCGGCGGTTAGCCGTTTACCTGCGTTACCGAGCTATAAGAAGTACACTATAGTCACCGCAAACATTCTTTGTAATTAGTTGTATAGTTCTAGTCTCGGGAATTAATTTATTTGTTTTTATGCCTTCAATATATTTCACGTGATTAAAAATTAGTCTTTGTTAGTTATGGTGAATAAATCAGGCAGACAACTGAGATAGTCGGGTAGGGGTAATCCCAATTCCAACATGCATCTGCATGTACGAGTGAATGCATGGGTTAATGTATAGCATGCACTTACCCAATTGTTGCTTTATTAGCTAGCTTTCTATTTCTAGTTATTTATGTGTATGTGGATGTATGACAATTGTTAGAAAGAGTGAGCGTAAGTAAAAGATAGCTAAAGAATGCACAAAGTGTGTGTGTCGTGTCTTTCTTAGTTGAGTGTTTTAACTTTTAAGCATAAGACAAGTTAATGAGGTTAGTGTGTGTTTGCGGAGAGATTTTATTGTCTACAAAATTTGAAGGATTTGAAACTCATATATCATTTGTTCAGATATTGCATGTTGAATTGGAGTATTAAGAAGTGATATATAATTCTTAAACTAGTATTAATTTCAGCCCGGTTGACCAATAGCCTTAAACCTCTTACTAATCAGACATGATTGGATCCAATAATCATAAGTTGAGATTTAGTTATATATGCAGATTCAAAACCATTTTTTATGTGTAATGAATTGGTACAACAAATACACGTAAATAAGTGAAGATGAACCCGATAATGCATTTTGACTCTTCATATAACTAAAATTGTTTAAGGGATAAACTAATTCTACACTCACTCGATTGGTTGAACGAGTTTTATTTTTATCACTTTCAGTAATTAGTTTATTCACATGCTTACTTTGCTCCGACGAAGAATGATCAGTGATATGTTCACCAAGTTTCAGGCCCTATCGGCTGTGAATGGAGAAGAAGCATTTCGAACGCAAACTGTGTGTGTCGTGTCTTTCAAAACTATTTTTTATGTGTAATGAATTTATACAACAAATACATGTAAATAAGTGAAGATGAACCTTATTATTCATTTTGACTCTTGAGATAACTAAAATTATTTAAGGGATAAACTAATTCTACACTCACTCGATTGGTTTAACGAGTTTTTTTTATCACTTTAAGTAATTAGTTTATTCACATTCTATCAAACTACTTTGTTCCGGCGAAGAATGATCAGTCATATGTTCGCCAAGTTTCAGGTGCTCTGATTCACACTATTGGCTGTGAATAGAGAAGAAGCATTTCGAACGCAAAATTGGAGATCGAAGTCATTGGGATGTTTCTAGATTTCTCTCGATTCCTGAGGGTGGGAAGAAAGAGAAAGGGAAATGGGGAGAGTTGTGAGATACAAAGCTGAGAGAGAGATGGAAGAACAAACGAAAAAAGAAAGAGGAAGGCATAGACAGAGTGAGATGACAAATTTTAAAGAGTAGGAAAATGAGGTAGTGTGAAATAATTGTCCTTCTGCTTTGCTTAGTGAGTATTGGTGGGATTATTCTTTTAAGTTTTGAATTATTTTAGTAGACGAAATTATATTTGACAGATTATTTCAATTTAAAAATCTAAATCAATATTATTGTTTAGCCCTGCTGTAGCTTTTGCAGAAGCAACTTCTGGCTGGAGCTTTTAGATAAGTACTTTTCAAAAAAAGTAGTTGAGTGTTTGGTTATAAAACTATTAGAAGTACTTTTTAATATGAGAGGTTGTGTAAAATGACTATAAACGACGTATAATATAAAATATGAATAAAAATTCTAAACAATAAAAAGTAGTCAAAATGGTTCTTATTAGATTTCTTTTATAATAAATAGAATAATTTTATGATTATTTAATTTTTCAAATGATATAAATGAAAGAATTATATTTTCTGAAATAAAATTAACATATGGTAAGGATAACATTGTATTTTCAAAACAAATTTTCGCAGAAGTTCCAAATCGGAGCTTCTGCTTTTATGTTATACAAAAGCGGTTTTCGGATTTTCAAAAGACGAGATTTTAGAGGTGTTTGACACTGATTCAGCTTTTGAAACCGAAAAACACTTCTAAAAGTCGGGCCAAACATAGGGATTATTGTTTAGATGATTTTTTCTTAATGCGATTATTGTAATTTCTGAGAGTTAAGGGGTATTCGATAACCTCAATATTTTAGCAATTTTTATTTGAAGTTTGAATTGAAAGATCGCACGTACCGGCTGTTCAACCATAAAACTTCACACCGTAGGCTAAATTGGTAGGTGATATTTAGCAATATGAAACAGTTGAACCACGGTTAAATTATAACTTTAGTATAAAATACTCTACCACCAACTTTTTGATACGATTTTAGAATCCTTGGTTCAAACAATTCTTTTATACAAGTGGAAACAAAGGTTACAAGACAAATGTTGAACTATCTATTGCCAAAAAGCATAAGTTAGTTAGCGATAATGAATAATTCAACCCAAAAGACACTTTGCAACTTCTATCTTTTTAAAATAAATGTATGCTTCTCATAATCTCGATCATTCATCAACTTAAAGAGTAACATATATTTCAAGTATTATGATTTTTATAGGATTTTATTTATTTAATTATTTCATGAAAATATATTTGATGCATGAAAATTACTACATATATTCGAATGAAAGATTAGTCGGTCCAATGGGATGGTCCAGACCGAATCGAGCCATATATGGTTTGATCCAAACCGAATAAAAGTAATAACGATTCGACTTTGTTCCTTGATTTAGAAAAAATTTTGGTCGGGTCCGAGTATAGTTTGGTCCGGTCTTGGACCGAATCGACCAATGCCCACCCCGAAAGGTGGATCCCAGAACCCAACCCACTGCAAACTGCATCCGCATAGGGATGGCAATGGGTCGGGTTGGGGGGGGTTTTGCCAAACCTGAACCCAAAACCATGGGTTTATCTGTAAAAAAAAACCCTGGGTAAAACCCGTTGGGTTTGAATATCTCAAACCCATCCCAACCCGCTGGGTATCTGCGGGTTAATGGGTACCTGTGGATTTTGTAGTAAAAAATTTATAATAACAAGTTTCTTCCAAATAAAAGTCTAACATCAACTTTCTCATAAAAATTATCCATACAAAAAAACACTTATCTAGAGCATACAAGCAAACCCCAAATTATCAATACTAATTGTTTAAAATTAAAGATAAACATCTATAAACAATGATTAATTGATAGCTTCCTTCCTCCTTGTCAACTAAGCTTCTTCACTCTCCAGTCCATAATATCAACTTCATCTCCACTGCATAATATCAACTTCATCGAACACAATTAGAAATAATAAATTAGACATGCCTCCACAAACATAAAGAAGATTAGTTGTTTAAGGAAGATATATTGTTTAGAGTATTAAATATACCCAAAAAATTAATTATATGAGTGTGGGCGAGTACTCATGAGGCTGGTTTGCCTAAACCCAAACTCAACCCCACACGGTGATGTTGTAGCGGGTTTAAACCCGAACCCGACCCAAAACCTGTCAACACGTATTTTACCTGTGTTGACCGGATTGGATAGGGTAGGGTACCCATCGGTTTGAGTTTTGTTGTTATCCCTGATCCGCACCTCCTTTTAGTTTTTTGTTAGGAATTATTTTGGGCCTTTATATGGTAGTGAGATGAATGGTAGGAGATTGAGTTTTGTAGGATAACCTAGTTTGATCCAATAAATTATGCATTGGACTTCAGCCCCGCCCCGTTTGATCCAAACAATCAAAGATCCCATTGGACTTTTGCCCCCGTTTGATTCAAGAGTCAAGACAGTCCCGTAAAGCTTCTATTAATGAAAAACATTAGCCCAGATCCATATATGCTTAGTATTCCCGGCCTTCCTACAAATCATATAACTTATTATTATAAAATTATAGAATAATTATACAAAATAATTGTTGAATGGGTTGGTAACTTTGGTCTAAAAATTATATTTTGATGACGAGGTGCAAATATTCGAGGATACGATGCTCATAATACTCAACAAACTAATGAAAACGAACAATTCATGCTAACAAAGCTATTAATATGACCACAAATTATTTTTTTTTCTTAAGAAATAGGCATAGGTAAAATTTAGTTTATTTTATAAAAATTACGAATTCAAAGGTTTTTATTCATGAGTAAATAATGGTAAAAGTATCGTACAAATGATATATGAATGTTTACAAACCAAATCTATAATTTGATTTTTAGCCCTATAATACGCAAGCTTTTTTATCTTTTTTGTCTCACTTTGTTGAAACAGCAATAAAAATCTCAAATTCAAACTTTCTAAATAATACTTATCAATTTTACAATGGCTCCTTTGTTCCTTCAAATAATCACGTTCAATTTTGTATTTGAGGTGGCCGATCAAATTCTTTTCGACATATGCTCTATTGAAGTTGATCCAAGTTTTACACAATAATAATAATAGTTATTAATAATCAAGATGATAACATATATTCCTCCTAGTGTATGGTTATGTTTATTGTAATATTTACGGCAAAGGGTAAATACAATTTAATATCCAAATCTTTCATTTTAAACAATATAATAGTCAAACCTTTTCGAAAACAATCTAATATACAAATCGTCAACTTTCCGTTCGTTTGACCGTTATTTGACACTTCAAAAAAACTTTGTTTAGGTGAAATTGTCACAATACAACTTTCTTTCTTATTTTGGCATTGCAGATGACTGAATATTTAAATATTCTATACCATCATGGTGGAGTCATGGACTTCTCGGGTTTGGAACTACGATATGTTGGTGGTTTTTCAGAGAAGATATCGATGGATATTGATGAAGTGTCGGACCTGGAACTTTTTCGAAGTGTCAACTAATGGTCAAAAAGACAGAAAGTTGACGATTTGGATATTAGAATGTTTTTGAAAGGATTTGGCTATTATATTGTTTAAATAAAAGGTTTGAATATTAAATTGTATTTACTATAAGGCAAAAAAGGGCGAAATTTGGTTGCTTATTGGGTTGCAGCACACCGCTGCTACCAGCCCACGTGGCTACCATTTATTCGTCCAAATGCATTTAATTAATTAGTAAATGCTAATTGGATATTTGATGCATTTTTTTAATAGTGATATCAATTTTTATTAATTCAAAAGGAAAAAGATTTAGCTCAATTGGTTAATTTTGGGTGAGGAACTTTCAAAGTCCGATTATTAGTTCAACTAAAGAAAACGTTGATTGTATACCTTATGTAATTAATTGATAATGCTGTTATTCAGATGAACTGCAATTCCGGCACAGAATGAAGAACTTATGTGCATGATATGTAACGTATGTATCTATGCGATACGTTTGAGGGCACCTTGCCGGGGTTTGCAACGAGAGAAGAGGCAGTGTTTGTACGTTCCAATATGACTTCATTGTTCTACAAGTATCTTGCTGCCGGGGTTTGTAACGAGAGAAGAGGCGGTGTTTGCAGGTAGGCTGATCAATAACCTAAAATTCCTTCTCCCAACATTATAAACCTAGCCTGCTTTACTCAGAACAGATAATAATATTGCCTTCTAACCACGAGAGAGAGAGAGAGAGATAGAGAGAGAGAGAGAGAGAGATGAGCGTACAGGTTGGTCGCTTGGATGCTCGAATGGCCACAGTGATGATGTCGTCGCTAATTCTGACAATGATCAACGGATGCTTCGACGGCGGTGTAATCATCATCTCTGCTGAAGCTGCCCTCGATACTATGTGCGGTGCCTCCAACGAATGGTTTTGTAGTCCGAACAAATTCGATAGCCCAGGCGCGCAGAATGCAGTATTACCGGATCTCAAATCCCCAACACCGTGCAAGCGGGTCTACGACAACGACATTAAACCACCAAAATTTGCCGCCTACGTTTATTCTTCTTGTGCTGATAAGAATGATCCCAACTGCGGTGACTGCTTAAACAGAGCGACTGAAGTGATATACAACAATTGCCCTGTAAATGATGGAGCTCAGTACGGGACGGAGGAGTGTTGTGCTAGATATGAGCTTACCAACTTTTGTGGAGCGTAATTAATTAAGAAATGCTATTGTGTATGCTTTTGTGGAGATGGGGTTGTGTTTGCAAAGGCTCCTCTTCGATTGACTTGCTTGGTCGAACGAAGCTTCACATTCGCTAAATGGGGCGATTTTGGAGGGGACACTTTTTTCCTCTTTTGTTTTGTTTTTTGTTTTTTGTTTTTACCTTTCGGTCTGTATCGTGTCATTTAATTTTCTTCGTATTTTAGTTAAAGTCATGCTTTCAGTCTTCTGTTAAGTCGTTGCTGCAGGTTTTCGAGCCTGCCTTGGTTAAAAGAAAAAATAAAATGAAGCCTCCTCATTGGTATATGTATCGGGGAAAGAGATGCATCATAAAAAAAATTAGGAGTTATTTATGATATGAAAATCGAGCTTATCAAATTTTTATGGGTGAGTCAAATAAAGTGTATAATAAATTCAAATTTTCAAAGATAGAACTTTTTCGGCCAATCAATATGAGAATATGTAAAATATTAATGCATTTCTATAATTTGAATTGAGTTCTTTGGAGAGATAAGATCCTTGTCGTATTGCTTAAATCTATATTTTCATAGATCTCAGAAAAAATTTCTATAGCGCCATAGATAGAATTAATATGGAGGATTAGTAAAATTCCAAAGCTTCATCTCATACATGCCAGAAAATAAGGATGGCTATACGGTCTGATCCGGTTAAATTGGACCAAATTGATCCGGTTCCAGTCCGGTCTTTTCGGGAATATAAGGACCAAAGATTGGATTGGATATAGTCCGATCTTGATCCGGTCCGGTCCCAATTTTATCTTGATTTTAGGTATTGGGGGTCTCTTATCCGGTATTTATCCGGTTTTTTATCTCAAATCTAAGCCCGAATATGAGATTGCATTGTTTGTTATCCGGTCCCAGTCCGGTCCCGGTCCGGGTTATACGGTCCGGTTTCGGGTAAAACCAAACAGTCCGGAACCAAATAGCCAGCCCTACCAGAAAGAAAGAAATACTCTAGATGGATTATCAACTTTTAGTTTACAACAATCAAAACTAATTGTCTTTCATTATTGATGTGGAACCGAGATACGTCATTGCCAACATTTTCATTGTTTGATGGTAAATTCGTTGGATGGTATATTAGCCTACTTCTCAACTCTTGCAAAGAATTTATTCATGACTATCCAAACCGGACACTAATAATTTTTACCCCTCAATCTTCACTCCTTTTCAATTTCCTAACAAGATTATGTTAGTGTTTATTGCTTATTAGATGTTATGGAGTAGTAACTTTACTTTATGAGCTAATGAATAATTTAGGATTTGATGCTTTGAATTTGAATTGTTATTGAGAATGATTGTATCTTTAATTTGTTTGATTTCATGATCTATTAGGTCTGTTTAGTGTTAATAATTGAAGATCTACATATTTAATTCTATGTTATAGTAATTATTATTATATTATCAATTAATTAAAAGCCCAAGGGAACTTACTGTTCCTCACGAAATTACCGCTTGCATAACTCTTTAGTTACTGTTCACCGGGGAATAATTGATATGCGGTGGATGCATTGTATAAGATTTTTGGCCATTTCCTTTCTTGGTTTATTAGATGGGGGATTAGTTCACCGGGTGATTATTATAATGCGTTGGATGAATCATATAATTAGCCCATTTCTTAGTGACTTTATTAGATAGGGCCTTATTGTTATGCGTTACATTCTCAGTAATTACTGATGGTAAAGGAATAGTGTGAGACAAGTCGAGTAATACCCGCTCCAAGTACAGGGCAGGATGGGTCGATCCATACTTAGATGTTATTTGAAAATAGAACGTGGATATTGGATGAATCATATAATTAGCCCATTTCTTGGTAACTTTATTAGATGGGGGCTTATTGTTATGCACTACATTATCAGTAATTACTGATGGCAAAGGAATGGTGTGGGCCAGGTCGAGTAATACTCGTTCCAGGTACAGGGTAGGATGGGTCGATCCAAACTTAGATGTTATTTGAAAGTAGAACGTCGATATTTAACTCTTTTACAAGAAGTCACAGAGAAAAACTTCATAGATGGGGAATTAGTTCACCGGGTGATTATTATTATGCGTTGGATGAATAATATAATTAGCCCATTTCTTGGTGACTTTATTAGATAGGGGCTTATTGTTATGCGTTACATTCTCAGTAATTACTGATGGTAAAGGAATAGTGTGAGACAAGTCGAGTAATACCCGCTCCAGGTACAGGGCAGGATGGGTCGATCCATACTTAGATGTTATTTGAAAATAGAACGTCGATATTGGATGAATCATATAATTAGCCCATTTCTTGGTAACTTTATTAGATGGGGGATTATTGTTATGCACTACATTATCAGTAATTAATGATGGCAAAGGAATGGTGTGTGCCAGGTCGAGTAATACTCGCTCCAGGTACAGGGTAGGATGGGTCGATCCATACTTAGATGTTATTTGAAAGTAGAACGTCGATATTTAACTCTTTTACAAGAAGGCACAGAGAAAAACTTCATAAATGAATGACAAATATAATATAAGGAATAATTGAGTATATAAGTTGAAATACATAGTTGATTTTTATGCAAATCATAATAAAACGGTTTGAAAATTGGCCAGGGCGGGTTGAAAGCAATATCATGTTCCGCTCCATGCTATTGTGGGTTGAGTAATATCCGCCCCAAACAAGTCATAAATAAACACCACTACCACGAATATCCTCATGGATGCTAATAAAATTTATTAATCAAATTTAATACTTTAGGAATTCCAAAGGGTATTCCAAAGGTTATGAAATTCTTGGGGATGCTTTTATATATATATATATATATATATATATATGAGATTTACCTAATAATACTATTATTATATCGTAAATTACAAATTTATCATGTACTAATGGTACTTTGATGAAATGAAAGAACTCATATTCATCATCTAATAAATTTTTTTTATTACAAAATATTTTATCATCTAATAAATTTGTATTACACTAAAGTGACATATGTATAAATTAAGCAAATATTACACAAAAGTGGCATATGTTATTAACTTTAATTTTGACCATCTCATCAATTTTTATTACGCATAAGCTATTTAGTAAAATGTGATGCTTTTCGTAACTTAATTTGCTTATTATCAACTAAAATCCCTTGATTATTAACTAAAAAAAAATCATCATGTCAGCAACTTCCATTACACAAACGTTTCCTAATGTCAACTAACATTTAGATAATAATTTAATAAATTTTGATACTTTTTATGACTTGATTTTACTATTAGGCCACATTATGGAAGATTTACGTAACAACATTGTATAATAGTTACATAAATGACAAATGCATTACGTAAAACTTACGGAGGGATAGTTATTTCTTATGTATAGATACATAAGTCTTCTTTAAAGACACTACATAAAACGAATTGAAGTTATCAAAATGATAATTAAGATCCTACGTACAACTTAGGGACATCATATTCTCGCCATTTTGTGGCAAATGAAACATTAAATAAGGGGTCGTTTGGAAGTTGGGATTCTTTAAATTGATGAATTCTATTAATGTATGCATTATAAATTGATGTTTTGCTTGAATGGTTGTATTTGAAAAATCCTTTGTTTGGAGGTGTAGATTGTGCTTTTCACATATCTAAAAAAGTACTATATTTTTTCGGTTTACAGACTATTTGTCCTTCATTAACTCTTTTATCCAAAGAGAGAGGAGCAATGAGTGAGGTAATGTTGGAAAAACAAAAAGTAGAAGGGACAAAAGTGTAATAAAAGACACACAGACAATCATTCGTTTACAATCTCAGCTTTTGCTAGAGATTGTCAATCCTTCATTTTGAAGGATTAGAGGTGGGCCCTTAAAAAGTAAATACATGCATTATAACTCAATTTAAAAAAAAATACAACGACTAAATCTCCAGATTGCAATATTGGCTAAATACACCACTTTAAATCATAACCTCCAAACAACCCCTAAGTTTGAAACATAATTAATTTTTCACCGCTGCGAAGCGCGAGCCAAAAAACTAGTATATATATATTAATGGCGCAAGTAAACCAAAGCCTAATTTACTGTTCAATACGACAAAATAGGCTCATGCTCATTTTTTTTCCGGACAACCTTTGTTGGTTGAATTGGACCCGAGATACTGTTCATTAGGTAGTTATACCATGTGAGCAGTTACAAGGTGAATCCATGTGAATCTTGCTGTGGGCTAGCCGAGCAGTCACTCTCTTCATAACAATTAAATGGCGGGCTTCAACCCAATTCCCAAAAAATATGGTATATTCTTCCAACTTTTTCCAAACTTATGGATTATTTGGTAGATACGTGTCTAAATGGTCTACTTAATAAATGCATGTATTGTAAAGAATGTAAAACACAATGTATGCATTTGATTGTTGATGTGACATTTGAAATCATTCAAAATGAATGATCGAGAATCTCAACTATTTGGTGAAATGTTGAGAATGTGAATAAACTTTTCTTCCCTTTTATGTCATTATTAAATTTCATTAGGTGTTTAGAGAGTTATTTTAGTGTAAATGACATTTTATCCCTTATATTCAATTTCACCATTAAGCTCTTTTTCCACATAATAGTTTAATCAAATGGAATACTTAACCTAACTTGATTTTATTATTAGACCACATGTTATTAGAATAATTTTTCCACGTAATTCTTTATTATTAGATCACATATTATTGAAGATTTTTGTAAGGTCATTCTATAACAAACACTTAAGCTGGCGATAGTTATTTCTTATGTATCAATGAAAACAAGCATAACACGTATTTTATTCCTTATACTCAATTTCACCATAAGCTCTTCTTTTTTACATAATAGTTTAATCAAATGAAATACTTAATCTAACTTGATTTTATTATTATACTGAAATACTTTTTCTAACTCCATAAGCACTTTTTTTACATAATAGTTTAATCAAATGAAATACTTAATCTAAGCATTATTAGACCACACATCAATGGAATACTTTTTAACTTGACTTTATTATTAAATCACATGTTATTGAAGATTTATGTAAGTCTTCCGTAATGATTAAGACAGTACTCAAATCTTATGGAGTGATAGTTACTTCTTATATATCAATGAAACAAACATATTACATAAGTTTTTCGTAACATAAATTTGAATGAATTGTCAATATCCTCAATTTGCATTGCACAAACTTTATGTAAAGTTAGTTATTTTTTACGTAACGTTTTAATAAAAATGATTGTTTGTATCACTTAATTCCTTCATTACTAACTAAAATATTCACCATCTATTTAGTTTTCATTACACAAAGCTTCAATAATTTCAGTTACTTTTACATAACAGTTTGATCAAACGTGCTATTTTTGTAACTTGATTTTACTATTAGCCCACACATTACGAAATATTTACGCAAAACACTATTCTATAACAGTTATAGAAATTACAAGCACATCGAGGGGTAGTTATTTCGTATATATAGATGAGAAAAATGTATTAGATATGTTTTCGTAATGATTAATACACTACGTAATGCTTATGTATGGATAATTATTTATTACGTATCAATTACACAAATATATTGCATAAAACTTTTATAAAGATAAATACATTATTTTACTTGAACGAGTCTGTTAATTATTTAATTTCCATTAAATCAATAAATGACTGGATGAAATTTAAATATAACTAGATTCTTACCGCCGCGTAGTGCGGGCCAAAAAACTAGTATTAGATTTATAGGGCAAGTAATATCGATGGGTATCTAAAAACCGTGGGTATGGAGATGAAATCACACTACCTCTCACTTGGTTATGGCCTTATCAGTTTGGCTATTTTAAAAAGAGGATGTGAATTCTTTAGGGAAACCGGACCCATTGCATCCTGAAAAATGTGTGCCACAAAATTCACTACAATCTGTTGGTAGGTCAATTGACATGAGGTCATGGGTTTGAGATTATATTTTATGTACAAATATTGTTATTTTTTGTGTGCTAACTCCTAGTGACGGTCGGTCCCGAACCCAACCTCTTGCAAACTATATCCGCCAATGACCAACAAAGAAATATTGCTCAGACAATTGAGATTATTCGAAGCTTGTCTCGTGTGATTTTGGAAGATGATTTTGACGTGGTGGTCCGTTAACTTTGACAATATGTGGACGTGGGTTCGGTTGGAGGGCCCTATCTCGCGATTATAGTCACTAATGATGGTAATTTTTACCATAACCATGGTTTTTTACTATTTGACTTAATTGGATTGGATACGAAATCCAAATAGATGGATATGTGTAGAGTTTGATGAGTTTGTATCCATACCCATTTACTTGAGTTAGGTTGAGTTGGGTTGGGTTGGGTTTATAACAAATGGATTTGTGTTTGCAGTTGCACCCATGCCCAAATGCAAATACAGTCTGGTACGTAAACTTAATATATATGCATATTTTTTTTTTTTGCATATAAGTACGCAAAATATCGACGGAAAATTATATTTTGGTACCTAAATTTTTTTGGTCTTACATTTTGGTACTAAACTTTTCAAGTTTTACAAATAGTTCCAATTTTTGTATGTATAGTTAAAACACCCTCAAGTATATGTATATTCATATCCAACCCATACCCATTTAGATTATGAAAGCAATATTCATACTTTACCCAAACCCATCTACAAACCCCCAAACCCATATACACTTCGCCCATATCCAACTCATTATAAATAGGTCTACTTGAGTTTGAGTATAATTACCCAAATTGCCATCCCTAATCGTCAATTGGTTGCTCCTCTTTCTGATTATATAGAAGCGCCAAATAAAAGCTTCTCATTATAAAAATGGGAAGATATATAGGTCGGGAATTCTTTGTTTTTGATGTTGATGGGATGCATCTAGCTCATAACCGGCAGCAAAGAAATCTGAGAGCCGGTAGTACGTAGCATCAACGAGGTTTACAAAAATGCTTTGTCTTCCCCTCCTATGCATGTCTGCACAAATCCATGCTTCTCACACTCACAACGTTTACCGTGGAAATAGGATAAATACCGCCATTTATATCACAAATAAACTTGTACGAATAAAAAAGCATACAAATCATCAATATATAGTTATATACTATGGGTGGTGAAAATATTAAAAGAATAGAATTTTTAGTAAATAAATATAATATCTAACTCTACTTTTCGAAATAAAAATATTCCATAATACTCACACTTGCATACTAATTTAAAATTTATCAGTTATATATTGTGTCTTTTGTATCACGCAACTTTGAATATGTAATTTGTATACCAACGTAAAGTTTTCTGTTATTGTTTAACAGAAAATACATTCACCTTAAACTCCTATGCTTGGATTTTCTCTGCCCAATTAGTTTATCATGAAGATGAGAATGCTGTATATCCCACTCCTAAGATATAAAATTGCAAGCAAACAAATTCATCCATCTCAAAATATTATAAAGCTAGCTAGCTAGCCCGCTTCACTAGGAACACATCTTAGCTAGCTAAGACAGAGAGAGAGAGAGAGAGAGATGGGTGTGCTGGTTCGTCGCTTGGATGCTCGAATGGCCACAGTACTGATCTCGCCGCTAATTCTGACAACGATCAACGGAGGCTTCCACGGCGGTGTAATCATCATCTCTGCCGAAGCTGCCCTCGATCCACTGTGCGCTGCCTCACACGAATGGTTTTGTAGTCCGACCGACTTCGATAGCTCAGACACGCAGGAAAAACTATTATCGCATATCACATCCCCGTTAAAGTGCGAGCCATTCCATAACGACGAGTTTCCTCCTCCAGGAGCAGTACCAGACGCCTACGTACATTCTATTTGTGCTGATGACAATGATCCCAACTGCGGTGATTGCTTGACCAGAGCGACTCAACTGATGCGCGACAATTGCCAGGGCAAAGACGGAGCTCAGTACGGGACGGAGCAGTGTTGCGTTAGATATGAGAAGAAAAGGTTTTGTAGGGCTTAATTAACTAAGATATGCTATTGTGTAATGTAGTCGATCCGAGAAAGAAAAGGTGTTGAGTTATTAATATGTATGAATTGTTTTTTTTTTTTTCTTGAAGGGAAGGAATCAACTTCAGAAAATAATATGCAGCTGCATTTGCTCATCAAGGTCGAATAATTGACTAAAAACATAATCAATGGTCAACCTAATTTGACCATATATGGACAACGTGAGTTGAATGAGGTGTTGGATGAATTTTGATTCGGAAGTGAGTTCTATCATGCTTTTGTAGCTTACGAGTTGGGTGGGTATGCATTTTCTTAAAATTTCGGTCCGCTTTCCATGTGCTCCGTATGTAAAAAAGAAAACAATTGAACCGGTACTAACGAGTTTTTCCTCGGAAGCAAGTTTTGCCTGCTTTTCTAATTAATGCGTTGGGTTGATTATGGATTTTGTTAAAAGCTAAAAAACATTTAGTGTTGTTGAAAAGTTTTGGGTCGGGAACAACTTTTACTCGCTTTTTTAATTAACTTGTTGGGTTAGGTGTGATCTTTGTTAAAATCTCGATCATATTTCCATCCGAGTTGTACCTAAAAAAAAAGAATTGACCTGGACAAAACTGGTTCAATTTGGAGTTGACGAGTTTTGGTTCAGGAGCAAATTTTATTCGCTTTTGTTATTGACCGACGGGAACGGGTGTTAATATTGTGAAGAACTATGCCCTCTTAATTAAAAATTATTACCACCCCGTGACTTCCCCTTTTCCATCGTTCTATCCCTGTCTTTCCAGCTCTCGCTTTGTAGCAGACCAATTAGATCTGAAGCTCTATACTACTCTCGAAAAAACAAGATTTATCGTGGATATGATAGAAGACACCATATATATACTTTGGTTATCCAGGCAAGAAGAGAAGAACAAGAATAATAGTTCAATTATCATTTTATTTTATCGTCCGTTTCTTTGTAGTCCTTAAAAGTAGAAATAAAATAGTTTATATTTTACCGTACTTAGAATTAATACCCGTAAAGCGGGAAAAATATTACCGGACCTTAATTGTATACTACAATTTTATGTACTTTTGTTGGTAGTTAAGGATTATTACTATATATTATCTTATGTGGAGCACTTATACTATTTTTTAAGGTATTGGAGTTTTAAAGTACAATTTTAAACTGTATCATAATGTTAGGAAATTTGTTCATTTATGTTATGGTTACAACTTGAAGTTGTAACATAATATAAATGTACAACTTTAGTTAATTAGTACCATAAAGGAATTTATGCAAGATAGTATAGGCACAACCTAAAGTATATGTACAACTTCATGTTGTCACATAAAGACAAAAACTAACGTTGATCCCCGAACCAAACCTCTTGCAAACTGCCTCCGCTACTGACCAACGGAAAAATAGTGCTCAGTCAATAGAGGTTACTCGACAACATGTGGATGTGTGTTCGGTTGGATGGACCCAGTCTCGATCGAGATTATCATCAGTTAGTTGCTCCTCTTTGTGATTATACAGAAGCAACAAATAAAGGCTTCTCACTTTAATAATGGGGAGATTAATAGGCCAGAAACCCTTTAAGAGGATCGTCTAAGCTCATAACAATGCAGCAAAGAAATCTGAGTGCTGGCAGTCGCATCGACGACAACTAGGTCTTCCACTCCTATGAATTGATAATGCTAGCTGTTATTCAATTTTTTTTTTAACATATAATGCTGTTATTCGTATGAATTGGAATTCCGGCACAGAACGATGTACTAATGTGCAAGATACGTACGTATGTGTCTATGAGATATGTTTTAGGGTATCTTGCCGCCGGGGTTTGTAAAGAGAGAGAAGAGGCGGCATTTGTAGGTTGGCTGATAATTAACCTAAAATTCCTACGTTGGATTTTCTCGCCCAATTAGTAAGTACATTATGAAGATGAGAATGCTGTCTATCAATCCACTCCTAAGATATAATAATATTGCAAGCCACAAAATTCATCCATCTCCCAACATTATAAATCTTTGCCGCTTTACTCAGAACACATAATATTGGATGATCGAATGGCCACAGTGCTGATTTCGTCGCTAATTGTGACAATGATCAACGTAATGATCATCACTGCTGAAGCTGCCCTCGATCCACTGTGCGGTGCCTCCAACGAATGGTTTTGTAGTCCGACCGACTTCGATCACTCAGACGCACAAGAGCAAGTATTTCCGTCCCTCACACTCAGAGCAGAGTGCGATCCGGCATACTACAACCATGGTGCTCAAACCGCCTACGCACATTCTTCTTGTGCTCATGGTCCTACCTGCGCTGATTGCTTGTACAGAGCGACTCAAATAATGCGCGAGTATTGCCCGGGCAAAGATGGAGCTCAGTACGGGAACGAAGAGTGTTGTGCTAGATATGAGAAGAACAACTTTTGTGGAGCATCGGAGTAAATTGTTACCCGCTGGCCAGAGTCTGTGTTAATGAATGCTCCTCTTCGATTGATGACTTGCTTAATTGTTCCAAGGAAGCTAATTAACATTCGCTAAATGCTGCGATCTTGGAAGGGTGTACTTTTTCCCCTTTTCTTTTTTGGTTCTTTCGGTCTGTATCATGTCTTTTTCTCCGTATTTTAGAAATAGGTGTCCTTTGCTCCTTGGAGCTTCTTCATAGCTTCCCATGTAGTGGGATATTATGCTCTTTCATGGTTGTTCTGACTGCATACAAACTACCGATTTATTTATACGGAAGAGTTGTTTTAATATTTTTTATAATAAGTGGTTTCCGATGGAAACGGTGTATTAGTATGTGGCAAAAGATGGCACGAATTAGCAAAGCTGATCAATGGATGCTTCCCCGATAGTGTAATCATCTTCTCTGTTGAAGCTGTCCTCAATCCACTGTGCAGTGCCGCCAACCAATGGTTTTGTAGTCAACCCGACTTTGTTATCCCAGACGCGCAGGATCAAGTATTACCGTACCTCAGATTCAGAGCAAAGTCTGATCCGGCCTACGGAGTACAACCAGAGAGTCAATCTTGTAACTGAGTCGTTATCCCATATCTTTGGGTAGGGTTGGCTATTTGGTCCGGGTTTTTTTTACCCGAAACCGGATCGTATAACCCGGATCGAGACGAGACCGGTCCGGGACTGTATAATAAACAATCCAATCCAATTTTTGGACTTAGATTTGAGCTAAAAAACTGTTAGGGACCGGATCGAAAACTGGATAAAGACCAGATAAGAGAGCTCAACACCCAAAACTTAAAGGTAATTTGCATAAACGGTCACAAAACTTTGCACTGGGTACAAAACTTAACCAACTCTTCACCCTTTCGGGCCTTAGGCCACTAAAATCCCCACAAGCTCAATATAAAATCAAGATCAAATTGGGACCGGACCGGGTCAAGACCGGACTGTATCCAATCCAATCTTTGGTCCTTATATTTTCAAAAAAGACCGAACTGGACCGGATCAATTTGTGTCAATTTAACCGGACTGGACCGTATAGTCATCCCTATCTTTGGGCTTGCCTTGGTTTGGAGCAAAAATAAAATGAAGGGGAAATAGATACATCATAAATAAAAGGGATTAGACTATTTATTACCCAAACATTTTTTAGATTCTTTTTTATTAGCAAAACCTATTGAATCACTAATAATTAGCCAAATGCTAACATCCAGTTATCAAGTTTGTTAATAATATTGACTTGACAACATGATACTGACTTGGAATAGACACCTGAAGATCACATCCCAAAATTTTAATATTTTAACTAAGAAAGGAGCTACAAAATTATTAACGATAACGTAAAAATGGCTAATACTTTGATGTGTTACAAAACGTTTGGCTAATTCTTAGTATTTCAATAGATTTGGTTAAAATCAAAGAATCCTAAAAATGTTTGGATATTATTACCCTAAATAAAATTATGAGTTATTAATAAAGATGAGTTGTTTTAACGACGAGTTTCCTTAACAGTTGCCTACATACATTCTTTTTGTGCTGATGACTATGATCCCAACTGTGTTCATTGCATAACAAGAGCGTCTTCACTGATGCGATATGGAGCTCAATTCGGGAGTGTTGTACTAGATATAAAATCGACAACATTTTGCGGAGCTAATTAATTAAGAACTGAAATCCTATTTGACGCCCTAATTTTTTAAATTTATCGCCCTAAATTAACTAAACGGACAATTCTACCCCAAGCCCTAAAATGGTCGCCCCAATTCTCAAAACACTGTTCGCCCAATTCCCTCGTCGCCGTCGCTGCGCCCCACTGCACTCGAAGTCCGTCGCCCTGGAAGTTTCGACTGCTACCAACCGATTCCTGCAACTTCACCCGGCAGGGCGTGTCTTTCTTCTTCCTCCCCATCGCTCGGCAGCAGCGCAGACGATTGCAGGCATGGCCGGCGGGTCCTCGATTACGGCGTCTTTCCAGCATCTTGGCGATCTCCGCCGTCAACGCCGGCCGCAGCACTTCCACCATTCCGATGCATCCCACTATTTTCCGGGAAACGCTCACACCCAATCAAAGTTCAACAGCGGCAGCAGTACTCTTACCAGACTCGATACTTTCTCCAGGCCTCGATCACTTCAGCTTCTCCGAACTTCACCACGGCGAGCATCACAGCGGAAGGCAGCTGCGGCGGCGACGGGCAAGAACTTCCAGGGCGGATAAGAATTAGGGAATAGGGCTTGGTCGAAGAAAGCTTCAAATTCAATAAATGGGCCGATCTTGGAGGTGGACATTTTTCCTTTCGTGCATCTATATGTTGGCCAATTGTTGTGATCGTCTAATATTTTTTGTCTAGTAAAACAAGTTCACGCACGATTAATTAAATTATCATATGTAATGATCGAATCAGAGATATTTCAAATTATTTATCATTTGATGAATGTATAACTCAACAAAACTCATATTTTGGTGGCAATAGACTGCTCAATTGATGGTGAATTTGTCTTTCGATTGATATGTATAACCCATGCCCATTATTGAAATAATGATGCATCTTGTCACTAATATAATTAAAGTCAAACAATATCATTGTAGATCCTTATGTAATATGAAAAATAGTATGCAACTTTGATACCTCACACTAACAAATCCCTTAGGAATTGAGATGTGACCGACCTTGTCTCCTATAGGACCGAACCCTACAATAGCATTATAGATCATTATGCACATCTAAACCTCACCATTTTATCATATGTAATGATAAAATGAAGTTATTTTTCAACTCATTTTTTTGTTTGATGATTGTACAAATGAACAAACTTAGTAGGTGAACCTCCTTGTACTAGTAGATTTCTCAATCAATGATAAATTTATCCCATAATTGAAAATATGTGTAACTCACGTACATTATGCAAACTTTAGCAGTACATAAAAAATGTTGTATCATTGGTGTTTTAGTGTATGAAAAATTTATTGATTTCTAATTTTGTTGTTTGAAATAAAAGTGACATGGAAAGTTTCACCACTAGCCTATGTGATCTTGGCAGTTGCTCCTCTTTCTGATTATATAGAAGCATCAAATAAAGGCTTCTCATCGTATATAATAATGGGAAGATATATAGGTCGGTAACTCTTTGTCCTAAGTGGATCGTCTAGCTCATAACAGGCAGCAAAGTAATCTGAGAACCGGTAGTGGCATCAACGAGGTTTACACGATTGTTGTGTCTTCCACTCCTATGCGTATATGCACAAATCCATGTTGTAGTTAAACCGTCGTTTTCAAAAGTTTGGCAAGGGATTTGGATCATCAATAATGGTGGAAAACGAAGGAGGTGAAGAAGCTCCATGAGAAGGAGACCACGATTTCTGGGTCAATTTTTTTGCCATTTTTCCGAAATTTTATGTAATTTGATTGGAAATTTTATTTATTTTTAATAATGATATCATATATGGCACATAAGGATAAGGGGAAGACACCTAAGCGCCACTTCATAGTAGTTCATTGATAATGCTGTTATTCCCATGCGTTGGAATTTCGGCACAGAGGTACTTGTGTGTAAGATACGTATGTGTCTATGCGAAATGTTTGTGGGTAGGTTAGCCTGATCAATATCCTAAAATGCATACGTTTCTATTATCTCGCCGAATTATTTTACGTTGAAGATGAGAATGCTGTCTGTCCAACTACTAACATATAATATTGCAAGCAACCAAATTCATCCATCTCACAACATTATAAAGATAGGCAGCCCACTTCACTCAGAACACATTTAAGCTAGATAATAGCGAGAGAAAGTGAGAGAGATGGCCATGCAGGTTCGTCGCTTGGATGCTCGAATGGCAACAGTGCTGATTTCGTCGCTAATTGTGACAATGATCAACGTAGGCTTCCCCCGCAGTGTGTGTTATCATCACTGCTGAAGCTGCCCTCGATCCACTGTGCGGTGCCTCCAGCGAGTGGTTTTGTAGTTCCACCGACTCTACTTTCCCAGGTGCGCAGAAGGATTTATTATTGTACCTCAGAAACATAGTAAAGTGCGATGCAACCTTCTACCAACGTGGTCCTCTACTCGCCTACATACATACTTCTTGTGCTAATGGTGACCGCTGCGCTGATTGCTTAACCAGAGCGACTCAAATAATGCGCGAGAATTGCCCTTTCAAAGATGGAGCTCAGTACGGGAACGAAGACTGTTGTGCTAGATATGAGATGAACAACTTTTGTGGATGGACCCCAAAAGGCCAGCATTTGGGTTAATGATCAATGCTCCTCTTCTATTGACTTGCTTGGTCGAAGGAATGCTCCTCTGTAATCTGTATCATGTATTTTAGTTAGAGTCACGTCTTTTTGCTCCTTGGAGCTTTTTCAAAGTTTTTTCTGTAGTGTCATATCATGCTCTTTCATGGTAGCTTGAGTCGTTGCTGCATGTTTTTGGGCTCGCCTTGGTTAAAAGAAAAAAATAAAACAAGGCCTCCTCATTGATTTTATGTAACGGGGAAAGAGATACATCCTAAATAAAACTAGGAGTTATTAATACGGATGAGTTGTTTTAATATTTTTATTTATATTTTAGTTCTAATGATGGGTGTTGATATTGACGGAAGAGCCCGCGATAGGTGATATTTCTTAGAGTTAGATATCAATTGTCTAATTTCTCTCATATGGTTCTGATAGTATTGTGTCAAATATTTACACTACTCCATTAACTAGTTGTGTAGAGAAAATTGATATTTTTTTGATTTTAATACAATTAATAGTTTATAATAGTATCTGGATATGCAATGGACGTTATACGAGACAGTGACCAATGATAGTAGTCCAAAAATACTCTTTATTCTCCGCCTTTATAAATCAATGGTTACTTGTGGTTACGTTAATTAATTCGCTTGTTCTAAAAGTTCATTGCCGGTTTGTAACGGGAGAAAGAGGCAGTCTTAATTAATTTGTATGTTCCAATGTAACTTCATTGTTATGCAAGTACCTTGCCGGGCTTTGCAACGACAGAAGAGGCCGGTGTTTGTATGTTCCAATGTGACTTCATTGTTACACAATAATCTTGCCGGGGTTTGTAAAGATAGAAGAGGCGGTTTTTGTAGGTTGGCTGATAATTAACATAACTTTCCTACGCTTGAATTTTCTCGCGCAATTAGTATATTATTATTATTATTATTATTATTATTATTATTATTATTATTATTATTATTATTATTATTATTATGAAGATGAGAATGCTGTCTATCCCACTTATAAAGCTAGTCCGCTTCAGTCAGAACACATATATTAGCTGGCTCATCTAGAAAGAGAGAGAGAGATGGACGTGCAGGTTGGTCGATTGGATGCTCGAATGGCCATAGTTCTGATGTCGTCGCTAATTCTAACAATGATCAATGGAGGCTTCGACGGCGGTGTAATGATCATCACTGCTGAAGCGGCCCTGGATCCATATCAGAGTGCGATGAGGTCTATGACGACGAGCGTCCTTCTCTAGAACCAGTCGCCTACAGACATTCTTCTTGTGCTGATGAGAATCATCCCAACTGCGGTCCTTGCTTGCTTAGAAGGAGCGACTATAATGATACTCCAAAATTGCCGGGGCAAAGATGGAGCTCAATTCGGGACAGAGGAGTGTTGTGTTAGATATGAAAAGAAAAGGTTTTGTAGAGCTTAATTAACTAATAAGAAGTGCTGTTATTTATGCTTTTGTGGAGCAGGGTTTGTGTTAACAAACGCACCTCTTGGATTGGCTTACTTCGTCGAAGTAAGAGTATACATATCAATGGTATTTTGTCGATTGCATATCCTACATGGCATTTAATATACAACTAGTTTTTTTGGCCTGCGCTTCGAGGCAGTATGATTTACGTAAAAATGCTTGCTTTATTGATACATAAAAGAAAAATGTTCATTAAAATTATGAATTGTATTTATTATTTATGTTACAAAATGGTGTTATGTAAATTTTCTGTAATTTATATTCTGATAATAACACCAAGTTAAGAAAAAGTAACACAACTGATTAATTATTATGTCAAAGTTAATTACCTAATGGAACATTAGTGTAATGAAAATTGATGGATGGTAAATATTTTAAGTAATAATTAAAGAAATTTAATTACTAATAAAATAATTAAGTTTTAAAAATTATCACATTCGATCAAATTTTTATGTAAATCTTATAAAATCGTTGTGTAATGAAATTTGATGCGAATTAAACGGAAAAAAAAATTTCTGCGATGATCAACCATTTAGTCAATAATAATGAAATTCTAATTTGAAATAAACCTGATAGAATCTTTGTGTAATGTAAATTAATGAGATGGTAAATAATTTAGTTAATAATAAATAAAATTTGAATCAAACTCATATCATGGAAGACTATGTAATACATTTTTATTTATTTGATACATAATAAATAATTATCCTTTCATAAATTTTACAAAATGTCTCAATCGTTAGGAAAGACTTAACATATCACGTTATATTTAATTTATATATAAGAAATAACTACTTCCATAAGTTTGACGTAATGTATTTTTAATTTACATAACTTTTATAGAACCGTATTACATTTCATAGTTTTTGGTCTAATAATAAAACCAAGTTGCAAAAATATAATATTTTATTAAACTATTATGTAGAAGTTAATTTATCTTACGAAACCTTTGCGTAACACAAATTGATGATATGGTAAATATTGTAGTTAATGTAATAAAAGTTTGTTTAATCGTTATATAAGAAACAACTATCATTGACGTAATGTATTTGTAATTTATGTAAGTATTACATTTGATTAAACTATTATATAGAATTTAACTTAACTTACTGTTAGGTTGTAAACCCGTGGGTTGACCTCCGGTTTAACTCAGATTGACCCTGACCCGGTGAGTAAAATGGATCACACACCAGTTGGTTGACTCGTAGCAAAGTTCTAGGGTTAGAGGTCAAAAGATGTCATATTTTCTTTTGGTTTGCGAATTGTGCCTCTTTTTCCCTTCGCCTCATCTATCTTTATTTGGATTTTTTAGTTGAATATTTGAGAATGTTTGAATTTTCATTACATGTTGGATCCAAGTTAATGTTATATTTTATTACCCATTTGTTATATAATATTTGATATAATTTTAATGTTATATTTTATTACCCATTTGTTATATGATATTTGATATAATTTATAAATATGTGAATAATATAATGATATTTTTCATATATTCGAGTCAAACTGAGTCAAAGCAATAAGACCATTAACCCTCAATCCACTTACTCGAATGGGTCAACAGGCTAAATTGGGTTGACAACCTTGCCTTAGGGAACCTTTGTGTAATGCAAATTGATGGTATAGTTAATAATGCAATTAAGTTATGAACTTGCTTTACTAATTATTAAGTTAATACTAAAGGTATTCATGAAATTGATGATGAAAAATTCAATATATAGTAGTTACGTCATGGGATAGAATTTGGGAAGAGGTTACATGAATTCCTCATTTTCATTGTGCATACACCTACCCGTAGGTCGTTATAACTCAAATTAATTATATTATAATAATAATCCCCAATGAACAGTGTTTTCGTTAGGGGTTTGGGTTAAGCGGGTTTTTCGTATGAAACAGTAAAATTAATGGACGGTTACTTGCGTTATTATAACATAATAATAATTGCAAAGAGGATTGCATTAATGTAGTGGACAATTACAAAGATGCAAGCTTGCGTTAAATGAAATTCAAGAATAAAGCCACATATGAAAATAATAAAACAATAATTTATTTTCTCTCTCTCTCTCTCTCTTGATTTATTTATTTTTATTTATTATTAAGTCACTTAAACCTTCATATGCAATGACAAGTGAATTGCGTTGATGTAGGTCTAATGAAATAAAGTTGAGTTAGATTGCATAAATTTACCAAAGCTTGAAGGAGTTTATGTGCCATTATGATTATGGTTCCAATTAATTAACTTATGAAAATTGAACCCAAATTGAACCCAAATCAATAGGTATTCCACCTAATTCGACCCTATTAAAGCGAGTTGAACCCGGTGTTGACGATTTTTTTTGCCGACAATGAGATTTTATGTCATTAAGGTTCTAATTAATTAACTTATGACAATTCCACCCAAATTTAACCAAAATCAATGGGTATTCAATCTAATTCGACTCAGTTAAAGCGAGTTGAACCTAATTGCGATGGTTAGGGCGAATTGAACTCGGTGTTAACAAATTTTTGTTTGAGTATGAGTTCTACATGCTTTACATAATTAATTGACTTATGACAATTGTATCAAAATTCAATCCAAATCAATGGGTACTCGACGCGGTTAAAGCGAGTGTAACCCAGTGTTGACGAATTTTGGGTCCATAATGAGTTTTACATGCTTCAATCAATGTTGACCGGGTTAAAGCCAGATGAACCTGGTGTTGTTCAAGTTTTGCACGCTTAAATCAATGGGTATTCGAC